TTATGTATTATAATTAATAAAAAATATAAAATATGTTTTTAATTTTATTAAATTTATTTTATAATTTTTATTAAAATTTTAAATTATATTATTTTTATATATTTTATTTTTATTATTTTAATATCATATTATCATATCCTATTTAAAAGTATCACGTAATTGAACAAGAGTTAGAATTTTATTAAGAATACGTAAATATTAAAAAAAAAAAAACTAAAATGAAGACGTTTTGCTTGATTAACGTATGATTTTATATTTGAAAAGTTACCAATTCTTGACTCTTTTCTTTTTCAACAGTAAACGAAGAATTCTGTTGACAATCAAATTAAAAGATACATAAATATAAAAAAAATATTACAATCTAAATAATATTATGTCAGAACTACAAATAAAAAAGAATATTATTGAGTAAAAAAATAAAAAAATTTAACTATAAAAAATAATCATAAATTTATTTATCTTAATGTAACTTTTCGTATAATCATAAAAACTCTTCTTTTTTTTTTTTTGTTTAAAGATAAAATTTGATATTAACTTAAAATCAATTAATTTAAATTAATACACACTCATTAAGGTTCTGATCCTACGTATTTGATTGGGTGAAGGTTTCTACAAGAAAAGATTAAAATTTTTTTTTCGTTTGAGGTTGGTAGGGTTTGCAATAAAGTTATTTTTCCCTTTGTTTTATTTTGGTTACAATAACATAAAAATTAATATATTTTATTATTTTATTTAAATAATTCAGATAAATTTTTAATCTGTAATTTATATTGAAATAAAGTCTTTACGTAATTTGATTTTTTGTTTGAAAGAAGAGTTTATATGGATAGAAATCAAAAGATAATAATTTATTTGAGTAAAATAAAAATATAAAAATTTATTTAAGAAAAATAAAATAACAGTATAATACTTTAAGGGTTTTTTAAAAATTATTTAATATTAAAATTTTTTAACTTCACAAATAAAATTAAAATAGTAACATATATCTCATTTTCTTTTTTTTTTCCTCTTCAAATGAGTTCTAAAGAGTTTAATTTAAAGATGTTTTCTATTAATTTGAGGAACTACAAAACTTGCAAAATGTAATGAGGTGAAATATTTATTGAGCTTCCTAAAATAATTAGACAAGTGCATTATCTTTACACATAAAATTCATACCTAATGGTGTAATAAAAAATATTACTCAATGAAATAAAAATTAATTACACATTTTTTGTTATATTATTTATTTTTTTAATCTCTTAAAATTTTTTTTTGAACACCCGATATTCTTTATTTTTAATCATTTATTAGTTTTATTTTTAATCCACGAAAATGACAAAACAAAACTTATAAAAAGGGACTAAAAGATTATTTGAAAATATAAATATATATGAATATAAAATTTTTATACAAAATCTTTAGATATTAACAATGTCTTTACAAAAATTAAGTACCGATAACAAAAAAAAGGATTATTATCTTGTATGACAATAGAGTTTTAAATTTCACAAGTAAAATTGAAGAGTTAAAATATATATTAAGATATATTTTAAAAATAATAAATTATTTAATTATTAAATAAACTTACATTTAAAAATAATATATACTATGTAGTGTTCTACACGCTGTTGCGGTTCAACAATAACAACAATTAAAAATACTTAAAAACACTAAAACGTATTTATATATACTTATTTTATTAACCTACAAAATATTAAGTTTTCTAAAAACGAAAGTGAGATCTATCATGTACAACAAAAAAAAAAAAAAAATGAAATGAATGGAGAATTTTATAGCACAAATCAACAAATTCATTATTAGATTTTTTCAATATTTTTCAAAATTGTAAGTTAAGTTTTTTAACTAATAGATTCTGCAAAAGGGCAATATAAATTAGTTAGTATATTCATCAATAAATCATAGGAGTTTAAAAAAAATGGTAAAAAAAAAAAACTTTACAATTCGATGAATTTTTTTTAGAGAAAGCAAAATCTGGATAAAATTTGAAGAATAAAAAAATGGATAAATTTTTTTTTAAGGTTTGCTTATAAAGGCTTTTGAAAAATTAACAAAATTAAATAGATTTACAAGAAAATAGATAGATAAGAAAGAGGAAAAGGTTTCATCTTTTTTGGATTTAATGAATTAAACTTTTCACTTTCTATTCATGAATAAAGTAATTGTGATAATAGGGTAAAGAAACCGATAATTGCTAAATTAAATATTTATTAATTTGAATATACTTTTAGATAATTGTAAAGTTTTAATTTGTAAGTTGAAAAATCAAACTAATTTATAGAGTCATACAATCAAAAAAATAGAAAGATTTTTTTTTTTTAAAATAAGAGAATAGCTTATTTATGAAATTGACATGTAACAGAATTACGTTAGATATAGAGATATTTCAAATTTCAGTGAAGTGAAATGACTTTTATTTCATACCACATGATAGTGTCAAAAAATATGATGCAAAATATAAAAATATATAAAAAATTATCAAATTCAATGACAATAAAGTTTTTTAATTTTACAAACGGATTTAAAATGATTATACATATCTTTTACTATATATATAAAAAAATAAAAAAATAATTAAAAAATAAAATATGTGTCATTGTCTTAACTCTATGAAGTTATAAAATTTAACTATTAATATATTAAATAATTTCTTGAAATATAAATATGATAATAATTATTGTCCATACATATGTGGGCCAGAAGAGTATTAAATTAATGGTAAAAATTATCATATAATTAGTTAAGCTAAAGACATCTTAAACACAAATAATATATCACTCCATAGTTAATTAATTTTGGACTAAATATGTATTTAAAATTTAACTCGTAAGAACAAAAATTCACAAAAAAAAAAAAATCCAATTATAGAATTGATAGAATAAGGCGTGTTTGGCCAAAATGAAATTCCTATTGTAATGATATATTGATGGGATCAAAACTCCCCAACTTCTTGTTGGTTAGTATATTCTAAAATACAATCCTTGATAAAACTCCGAACCTTATTATTTTTATTAGGTAATGGTATAATTAAACTATGGAAACAAACAAATATTGTCCTAATTGGTTTGAATTGATATTAAAAGAGTATGTTTGGTTTAATTTCATACGTATAGTCAATATATAAATAAAGGAAATTTCATTTTCTTAGGTTTTCTCTTTGTTGGGGAAATCCTCCCATCAAATATCAAATTTGGAGTGGTTGGCAATACCATTAATTAACATCTATTTATTTTTTTTTATAAAAATAAAATAAGTAACTCGCATCTTAATAAATAAATTAGAAGATATTATTTGCACTTTATTACGAGAGTAAAATTATAGAAACTATCCATTGATATATATATATATATATATATATATATATAAATTCAATAAAAACTATATTACTAATATAATTTTATTAACTATATTTTTATTTCATAATTTATTTTTTTCATCAAATCTTGAATTGAGTTGGAATTGTGTTAGAATGCCATATGTTTCTTCAATTAATGCTATGTTTTGGTATTGATATAGTTTATACTTTTTTCATATTTGAATTTATTTTCATGAAACTTGTGATTTATAATTAAAATTTTATTTTAATATGAGATTTTTAATTTATATTTTTATGTAATTATAATTTTGAAATTTATTAATAAAAAACGGAAACAGATTTAAAGATATCACCCCACTGAACCTTCTGAAATGTTCAGAAACTGTTGCCTAGAAGCAAGGTGGTAACACCACGTTAACCTTTATTTTGTTGAACGTGAACAAATACGAAACCATACCCTAATTACATAGCCTAGAGCAAATGCCAATACCAATTGATTCAACTTTTTTTTTCTTTCTTTTTTCTGCAAATTTAAGAATGAACAAATCTAGAAGAAGAAGAAGCCTGACATTGTTTCTTCTTTGGTTCATCACTCTCTCCCATCAAATTCAATCTGTAGTTTGTGAAATAGGGCAGTACAATGAAGAGAAACCATCTTTCTATATCTGGTAGTATCAAGCACCACGTCATTGTTGAAAAAACCTCATAAAAATTCTTGGGATAATTGTTCCTTAGTGAGTGACAAAGGTTTCCATCTTGTGTTCACCATTATGTTATATGTTTCTTTACGGAGCTGTTCTAAGTCATTTGATGAAGAGAAGCGTAACAGCGGCACTTGGTTTATGGTTGAGGAAACTGTTATCGTGCAAGTTGAGAAACCCTTAAATGAGTCTGCTCACGCTATTTCTAATGATTTATGACATTTGCCGAATATTTAAGTGCGAATTTTTAATTGGATTTTTTTTTTCCTTAATCTATGTTGTACAGCTTCTATGTATATAATATACAAAGAAGAGCATATTAGAAAAAATAAATAAGAGAAAAAAATAATATAAAAAATTTTAACTTTAAGAAGTGAAAAATATTTTTTTAAAGGTAATTATACTTTTTGGATATAATAAAACTTCACACTCTCAAATTAAAAGTAGCAAAAATTATTATATTAAAAGATTTATTTATAATAAATAAACAGACATAAACCTTTGTTATAACATTCTATATAATTATGATATTTATGAATAATAATTTATTTATATTCAGATAGTTATAACTATTTATTTTATGATAATTATTTTTGTTCAAACATAATTATTTAAAATATAAAAAAATTAATATAAAAATTAATGTTATTTATCAATAATTAAATATTTTTATTCAATATGAAATACAATATATTCTAAACTATCAATAAAATCAACATTATGTATATTGTTTACAAGGATCCCCTAAGATAGAGAATAAGTAATATTCTTATTATTTTAATCATTATTTAATGTTTTATATTATCTTAATGAACCAAACTTTGTTTTATTTTCATTATTTTGTATCATTATTGAATGTTGACATATCTTTATTTTGATTATTCACTTACCAATGTTTCTTTTTTTTTTTTACTTTGTTTTCGTTACTATTTTTATTTGATTTTCTTTCTCTATTTTTTCCTCATTTTCCATCTTACTTTGTTTTTGAAATTTTTTTCTCTAAAAAAATTGTCTTGTGATATGTAATGATCATGTGATAATCAATTAGACTACCAATCAAACAAAAGTTGTCCCCACTTAAAACCAAGTTTAATTGTTTGTTTGTACTTTGTAAGAAAGCTGGCTTCTTTTTGTATTTGATCAATTTCTTGAATGAATTTTATGATAGAAACAGATCAAATTATGAGGAGCAGCAACATTCAATGTTATTACTAACATGGAAAAGGCTAGAAGAGCTGCATGTTCTTATTCCAGATTTAAATCAACTACATAGCAAATGCCCCAGGTTTCAGATTACAATACCCATTCAACTTTCAAGCATGCATTTTTAGTCCCATCTACTGGAGAGCCTAGCCATCAGTCCATCCCTGGTGTGCAGTATAATGGATAAAGCAGGAACAACAGGGGTTTCTTCCAATACATGAATACAATAGTTGTAAATTATAGCAGATGCCACCGCTTTCATCTGAACAAATGCCACTTCCTTTCCTATGCAGGTCCTTGGCCCTGCATTGAAGGACAAGAACTTGTATGATGGTTCATGTTTAATCCCTCGCTTCGAAATCCATCTTTCAGGCTTGAATTCTAAGCAATCTTCCCCCCAGATTGATTTCATTCTTCCCATTGAATACAAGTTAAACAAGATTTTAGTCTTTGGATCAACTGGATGCCCACTGGGAAGAATGTCAGGTTTTAGAGGTTTCTTGTGCTGGAACGGAACCGGTGGATACAGCCTTATTGCCTCACACAATGCTCCATGTAGATAAACCAAATTCTTTACCTCTTCAGCATTGAATAGTCGCTTCTTTTGTGTTTCCTCTGCGGGTATGGCTGATTTAAGCTCTTCTATGATCTTGTTTTCCACTTCCGGATGCTTAGAAAGCAGCCAAAAGAACCAAGTGAGAGCAGAGCTCGTTGTGTCCCTCCCTGCAAGCATCATACCCAAAATGGTGTCTCTCAAGAACTTATCATCACATTTCAAACCTGATGACTTCTCTTGATCAGTTAATATATATGATGTTAAGAGATCTAAACCTTCTTCACATATTAACCCTTCGTTCATTTTGTTCAGTTCTTTCCTTTTCTGGTATATATATTTAACAATTATGTCATCAAGAACTTCCCATGCCTTTCTATATTTCTTCTCTTGCCCAATGTTCAGCCACCTTAGCAACTTCGTAAGGCTTGGTGGCCTGACATGTCGATAAAATATGGCTTCCTCAGCATCATCCAAGGCCTTGGCAAAAAGAACTTCAGGGAATTCCACGGAGAGGCACTCGGGATCGTAGCCAGTAACCAAGATGCATGTAGAATCAAATGTAAACCTCTGGAAAATATCTTCCAAGTTGAGCACCAAGCCTCGTGTGGCAACATGTTCAAGGACAGGAATTAGCCCGTTTTCCACCTTAGCTCGGCTAGTCCTCAACAAAAATTGGTGGAACAGCTGATGTCTCAGGAATTCTTGAGCAGATTTCCTCTGGGTTTTCCACAAATCCATGTCAGCATTGAAAATCCCATCTCCCAGGATGTCAAACATCTCCTTGAACTCAGATCCTTTGGGGAAGTTCTGAAAGTTGGAACTCATTATGTAGTGAATGTTGGCAGGGTCGCAGGTCACCGACGTGTTCATCTTAGCAAACCAAGGGCCTTTGAAAAGAAAAGTGCAATGGTTTCTTTCGAGAACCTCAGTGCCCCAGTCGTGAATCCGATGAATGTTGAGGAGAAGATCTGGCATCATCCCAACAAGCGGGAAACTTTTTGGAGTCCCATCGTTCTTATTTCTCAAGCAGCAGAGAAACAGAAAGCAAATGAAGGCCAAAACAAGTTCAAAAATACTGACTAATGCCATGAAACTGAAAACCAGAAAAGCCTCGGGTATGATACTTATCAAGTATCAACTTGAAAACAATATATCCACTGAGCCTCAAAATCTTAAAAAAAATTTGTTGGATATAAAGGACAGTAGAAGAGTCCAACAAATATGATTGAGTGAGAGGTGGGGCCACAATTAACTCCTTCCACAGAATTGAAGACTGACCCTACTCATCTTTTCAAACCTTTTTCACCATTAACGGGAGGCTTAGCGGCTGCAGTTACGCACGGTAATTCGTGTATTTATATTATATAAAATATTAATAATTTATTTGATATAAAAATAATATAATTTTTATTAAAATATAATATAAATATGTATGCCATCGAACAAGAGTTAGAATTATATAAAAAATTAGCTTTTTAAATCCGTACAATGTACGAGATTTTTAATTAAATTTTTTATAATTTTAAATTTATTTTTTAAGTATTTATCTAATATATAATCATATATTTATAAATGTTAATTTATAATTAAATGATAATTATATATAATATATTATAAATGATATTGTTTATATAAAAGAAGTCTAATTTTCAAGAATTATAAAAATGATTTTTTTCATTAAAAAATATTTTCTTCAATTTGTTTGCTTAATACTAAAAAATTTACTATCATTTTTTTCTTGTTTGATAAAAAATCAATAGTCAATATTTCAATAGTTAAAATTAATAATCGTTTTTATCATAATGTTGATTAGATGGTATATATATATATATATATATATAAATATATTTAATTGAACAACAAATCACAATTATTAATTTTGTTATAATCATTTACTTTTTATTAGCTTTTATTTTTAATATACTTCAAGTAATTGTTATATTAACAATTATTTTTATATATGTCAACAAAAAAAGTTATTTTTCAGATAAAAGGGAAACAATAATTCTTCATGTTATGCTTAAAAACTTTTTTTGAAATATTTTATTATTTTTAATCATTTTTAACATAATTGATAATATTTTTTATGAGTTAGATATGCTAGTGATCATCATTCTTCTCATATCATTTATTGTAGACAAAGATATTTAATAATAACAAATATAGCAAAAGAAAATGGGGAATATAAATTTACATATTAATTTGTCAATATTAAATATATAAAATAATGAAAGCAAATAAGTTAATAAATTAACAGAGAATAAAAACATTGAAGAAATGAATAAAACAAAAAATATATAATACAAAAAATTAATTATAATCAATCTAAGAGAAATTAAAAAAAGTTATGGACTAAATAGAAACAAATAAATTAACCAAATATATAATATAAAATATTTGAATTAGAACATAAATAAAACATTATATTTGTTTTCAAAGTGAAAACATATTTTTATTTAACTTTTTTATCAACATTCAAATATTTCATATTTTTATATAAATATGTAAGTTTTTATTATTTTGAAAATACATTCTTTTTAGTCAATAATTCATTAATTTATCTAAAAGTATTAAATATAAATAATCGATTAGATAATTTTTAATTTTTGATAGATTTTAATTTGAATTTGAATAATTATCTAAAAATATTAAATTAAATAATTTATTAAATAGAATTATTTGACAAAATAAAATTTTATTAAATATATATATTTAGAACTACCGTTAATTTTAAAAAGAAAAGATAAATTATTATTTAATATATTTGAATTCAAACTTATTCAAAAATTTCAATTTTAGATAGGAATTGATTTCAATTTAAATAATTATCCAAAATATTCAATTTAAATAATTTATTAAAAAATTTTATTTGATAAATAAAATAATATAAATATTATCTTATATGTCATTAAAAGAGATTATCCACCTATGCATCCACATAAGCAATTTTGATCATTTAACCTTATATGTTATAATATAATATATATATATATATATTAGATATGCAAATAAAAAAAAAAAAACAAAAAGAAGACGCTTTGCTTGATTAATGTACGATTTTATATTTGAAATGTTACCAATGATAAATTTTCTAAAGATGACTCTTGTCCTTTTTCAACAGTAAATGAAGAATTTTGTTGACAATCAAATTAAAAGATGCATAAATATGAAAAAAATTTTATAATCTAAATAATTTTATGTCAGAATTATAAATAAAAAAGAATATTATTGAGCAAAAAAATAAAAACAAAAAAATTTAACTATAAAAAATAATAATAAATTTTATTTATTTTAATGTAACTTTTCGTATAAACATAAAAACTCTTTTTTTTTTTTTTGTTTAAAGACAAAATTTGATATTAACTTAAAATCAATTAATTTAAACTAAGGCACACTCATAAAGGTTCTGATCCCACATATTTGATTGGGTGAAGGTTACTACAAGAAAGGATTGATTTTTTTTTTTTTTTCATTTGAGGTTGGCAGGGTTTGCAATAAAGTTATTTTCCCCTTTGTTTTATTTTGGTTACAATTAAAAAAAATAAATTTTATCATTTTATTTAAGTAATTCAGATAAATTTTTAATCTTTAATTTATAGTTAAATAAATTCTTAACATAATTTAATTTTTTATTTGAAAGAATAGGAATTAAACAATAAAAATTTATATGAGTAAAATAAAAATATCAGAATTTATTTAAGAAAAATAAAATAATAGTATAATACTTTAAGGGTTTTTTTAAAGTGAAATTATTTAATACTGAAAATTTTTAATTCCAAAAATAGAAATAAAATAATAATATATTTTTCATTTTTTTAAAATTATTTTTTCTTCGTCTCCTTTTTTTCCTCTTCAAATGAGTTGTAAAGAGTTTAATTTAAAATGATTTTTGATCTCATTGAGTAATAAAAAATATTACTCAATGAGATCAAAAAGTAATTACACATTTTTTGTTATAATATTTATTTTTTTAATCAACTTAAAATTATTATTTTTTCTAACACCCAATATTCTTTATTTTTTAATCATTTATTAATTTTTATTTCTTAATCCACGAAAATGAAACAAGAAACTTATAAAAAAGGACTAAAAGATTATTTTAAAAATATATAAAAATCAAAATCTTCAAATACTAGTAATGTCTTTACAAAATTTAAGTACCAATAGCAAAAAGAAAATGATTATTATCTTGTATGACAATAAAGTTTTAAATTTCACCAGTAAATTTGAAGAGTTAAAATATATCTATATTAAGATATACTTAAAAATAATAAATTATTTAATTATGAAATAAACTTATATTTAAAAATAAAATATATATATATATATATTTGAAGTATTTCAAAATTTAGTGAGGTGAAATGACTCTGTTTCATACCACGTGATAGTTTCGAAAAATAAGATGCAAAATATAAAATTATCAAATTCATTGATAATAGAGTTTTTTAATTTTATAAAAAAGTTAAAATAATTATATTTCTTTTATTGTATATAAAAAATTAAAAAAATAATTTTTAAAAAAATATTTATTATCATCTTAATCTTATATATAAAATTAAAAAATTTAACTATCAATATATTAAATAATTTTTCAAAATATAAATCTGGCAATAAATTTATTGTCCATACATATGTGGGCCGGAAGAGTATTAAATTAATGATATAAAATATCATATAATTAATAAGTTGGAGACATCTTAAACACAAATAATATCTCACTCCATTTATAATTAATTAATTTTAAATTAAATGCCGTTTTAAAATTTAACTCGTATGAACAAAATTTCATCAAAAAAAAAAAAAATCCAATCATAGAATTGATATGATAAGGCGTGTGTGGCCAAAATGAAGTTCCTATTGTACTGATATATTGATGGGATCAACTCCCCAACTTCCTTGTTGGTTAGTATATTTTAAAATACAATCCTTGATAAAGCTCATGGTGATGGTCCATTTTTTTTTTTTAAATTTTTCATCCGAACCCTATTATTGTTATTAGGTAGTGATGTAATTAAACTATGGAAACAAACAAATATTGTCCAAAATTAGTTTCAATTGACATTAAAAGATTAAGTTTGGAGTGGTTGGCAATGGCATTAATTAACATTTATTTATTTTTTTTATAAAAATAAAATAAGTAACTTACGATCTTAGTAAAGAACTTAGAAATGATATTTGCACGGGAGTAAAATTATAGAAATTATTCATTGATATAAAAAGAAAGGAATTTCAATAAAAACTATATTACTAATATAATTTTATTAATTATATTTTTATTTCATAATTTATTTTTTTCATCAAATCTTGAATTGAGTTGGAATTGTGTTAGAATACCATATATTCTATACTTGATTTTGTATTTCAATGAAACTTGTGATTTATAATTAAAATTTTATTTTAATATGAGATTTTTAATTTATATTTTTATGTAATTATAATTTTTAAATTTATTAATAAAAAATGGAAACAAATTAAAAGATATCACCCCACTGAACCTTCTGAAATGTTCAGAAACTGTTGCCTGGAAGCAAGGTGTTAACGCCAAGTTAATCTTTATGTTGTTGAACGTGGACGAACTTGAAACCATCCCCTAACTACATAGCCTAGAGCAAATGTCAATACCAATTGCTTCAACTTTTTTTTTTCTTTCTTTTTTCTGCAAATTTAAGAATGAACAAATCTAGAAGAAGAAGCCTGACATTGTTTCTTCTTTGGCTTATCACTCTCTCGCATCAAATTCAATCTGTAGTTTGTGAAATAGGGCAGTACAATGAAGAGAAACCATCTTTCTATCAGGTAGTATCAAGCACCATGTCATTGTTGAAGAAATCTCATAAAAATTCTTGGGAAAAGATCAAAACCATTATCCATGACTTCCACTTGCAGTTTATACCTCCAAATCTAGAGTAAGATTGCATGCCATTTTCCTGTTTTTGTTATTACATGCATTTGAATGTTGAATATTGTACATTCATCATTAACATGTTATGTACTTTTGTTCCTTGTCTTTGTCAGTTTTAGGGGCACAGGCACAGCAAAAGCTAGAGTTTCCGAAAGTGTAGGAGAGGATATGAAAGGAGCAGTTAAGAAAAACATTGGAACAAGTAAATTATCAGTTGAGGAAACGGCGAAATCTGCTGCAGAATTTGCTGGAGAAGCTGCCCACAGAACTGCTGAGAAAGTGAAAGAGATTGTCTCTAATAAAGAAGAATCTCATGATGAGCTTTAAATTAATTAGGTGTGTTGTTTGTAAGTTAATTTTTGTTACTATATGATCTTGTTAATTGATATGCACTCATTCTCAATGAAATTGTCCAATAATTGGTCACCACGGCAAGTTAAACAAGAAGTCAGTACAAAGTGCAGCAGCATGCACGTAGGGCTAATTTCCAAGTAAAAGCTCTAGATGAAATTGAATTACACCTCTCAAGTGAAGCAAATTAAAAGGAGAAGGGATATGAAAACTTTCGTTTTGCTTGTTTATCCCTGTCCAATGATCTCCAGAACTTGCTCATCAGAAAAACCAATGAGCTAAGTATAATTTTCTTTTCCATTTGGAGATAAGCATACTGGAAAGGATATATCATTGACAACATTATGCATGAAGAGGCAGCATACTTTGCATATGCTAAAGCAATTAGATGACAATGGCATACCATCAATGGACTGAGAAACAGATTTGTTTGATAAAAGAACAACACAGAAGAGACTTCATAATTCAAAGTCTGCTGCTCAAGGAAACTGCAGTCATGAATTTAAAAGCTCATAGCTAATATTTTTTTGTTATCCATCTCCTTAGGATCGAGATGGCGAAAGAAATGTGGTTAAAGGATCATAGATTCACCAAGGAATATGGCACTCTTAATTCTCTGTTCTTAAGCAAGATTTTTCTTCATTCAGCCCCAAGAAGGGACGCAAGCCCCTTCTCCTTTCCCTACTTCCTCTTCTGCACTCTTCAATATTGAGAGGGAAAAATACATCACAAGACTATATATCTTTAGGCAAGCGACACTCTCGTATGTGAACCATCAGACGGGTGCAATCAATAAGAGAATCTATACATTTAACATCCCAATAACAACCATTTTCATCTTGATTTTCCGAACAACATAATCAAGCTAGCTACCCATCTACTACCTAAAGGTTCTAAACCAAAAAAAAAAAAAAAAATCCAAACCCGGCACATTATTGCCGTTAATGTAGCCAACAACCATAAAAAGCCTCTGACCATTTTTATAATACTTATGGCTAATTCCCATTTCAGTTTAACACATTCTTATTTTTTGAGAACAAAAAACCACAAGTTTCTTAAACAATCACATAAATTCCATCCCAAAATTAAATTTCTTTGTCTTCAAAACATATAAGGTTATATTTGATACATTATCAGTGTATAAATTTTATATACGGTTAGTAAATTAGATGATAATACTTCATCAAAAAGCAAATATTAACTTTTAAAATAAATGTAAACAGTTAAATTTTTTTTTAATTTACTCATTAATAAGATATTATCATATGATTCATCTTATTAATGAATTATTATCGTCTGATTCATTAAGAATGCATAAAATCTATAAACTATAAGTGTATCAAATATAAATTTGAGTTATATATATAAATCAAATTTATATTTGATACACTTTCCGTATATAAATTTTATACACTGTCAGTAAATCAAATGATGTCATCTTATTAATGAATAAATATCAATTCTTAAAATAAATATATAAAAATTAATATTTTTAAAAAATTTACTCATTAATATGGTGACATCATCTGATATTTACTTCATTAATAAGATAACATCATCTTATTCACCAATAATATATAAATTCATAATATATAAAATCTATACACTAACAATACATAAAATATAAATCCATATAACTCTTTCAAAGTGAGTAAAATTCCAACAAATAAAACTCAATTACCGCATTGATAGATGGAATTATAATACGAGTATTAATTACAGATTTTAAAAGTGGCCGAACCACATTGAAAAATTTAGCAAAGTAAACGACCTAAATAAGACATTAACTTTAATTTAAATTACATTTTTTTTGGCAAAAAAATGTTTAAAGGGACGTACAATGATACTCTATTTTGGAAAATTTTGGCTTTAGTCCAGAAAAAAAATTCTCAATAATTTTTTTAAAAAATTAATTAATTATATATCACCATTTAAAATTTCCTCCACAATTGTTTATGAATCAAATTTTCTTTCAAGCTTGGGTTAGACTTTGGACAGGGATTTTAAGGTATAGGTCCAGGCTCGGCTTGATCCAATTTCGATTGTTTTTTTATTAATAAAAGATATTTGTTTAAATTTAATCTTAGGTAAAAATTTAAAATGTCAATTGGATCTAACGCGGTTCAATTTGATTCATAAACAGTTTAATTTTTTTTAGTTTCTCCAATAAATAAAAGCCATAATTTAAATATTAGTTACAGGATTTTGAAGACCATACAATGAAAAAAAAAAAGAAAGATGGAAAAGAAAACCTAGACACAATGTCATGAAATCAAGGACCCCTCAATTTAAATGTTGCAGTTTACTTTTAAACCCGGACCACAATATTTAAAAAATTAATAATAATGGACTATAATTATATGATAATGTGTGAATTACAATTGGGTTAATCAAATAAAAAAGAAGGGGTTGCGGAGAAGAATTCCAATTAGAAAATATTTGGTATGATTTTGTAAAAATTACAGTGATTTGTATTCAATAATTATATTATTTTATTTGATAATAATTTAAAAATTTTATATGGTGATGATAAAATCACTATCTTAAGGAGTGATATGATTTTTAACCTAAAAAATTAAAAAAAAAATTATCACCATGATAAAATAATTTTTAATATTATTTTTTTGACTAATTTACCTAGATGAAAGATGCAGTTAAAATTGTCTTAAAAAGTTGAATAGCTGATTAGTAAAAATTTCAAAAATATCTTTTAAGAACTTATTTAAAAAAATCTATTGCAATTGAATAAATATTTATTAATTATAAAAATAAAGAAATTATTTAATAATTTTTTAGAAATTATTTTTCATTCAAATTGATTTAGATTTTATAATTTATTTTATAAATTATTGATTCGATAAATATTAAATTTTTTACTTTCTTTTTGCAAAGTTATTTTGGATATAATATCATTAGTGATTTATAATATTATATCAAATATAATAATCTAAAATTACTAATAACAAAATCATTTTAATGATTTTATCACTATAATAATTAAATAACTATAATATTCTTAAAAATAATTTCAAACATTATTTTAAAGAATCAAAATAGCATAAAGTTTTTATTAATTTTAATTTTCTTCTGTCTCTCTCCCTTTTTTTTTTTAATTGCATTAACTAAGATTTTCTGATTGACTTAATAACCCCACGTGCGTTGAAATCTTAGCTTTGTCTCAAATATCTATCTATTTATATGACGCCCCAAGAACCCCATTCTCTCCCATCCCATATAACCTTCGTCAAAGCCAAAGTTGCAGGTAAGTTAAACCACCCTTAATTTTTTTTTTCTTCTAAAGAATGCTTGGAACGATCCACTAAGCATATATATATATACACATTTGACTGTTATATGCATGAGTTTTTATGTGCGCGTTTAAGTCCTATTTCTATTAGGATTTCAACTAAGCTGCTGTATGTTGATTTAGTTGTTGACATGTGAATGTAATTCAAGTGCAAATTGATGAGAGAGTAATTAAACCATGCATAAGTTTCGAATTGTAAGCTGAAGTCAAAGCATGAGTTAGGCAGATAAGATGAGCATACGATTGAACATGACCAATTGTTGAGTGTTTGCAAAAGCATGAACAGATTGGGGATCATGGAAGGAGGCAATGGATTAACAATGGGTAAGCAAGCTAAGAAGAGTAGCGGAACAAAGCCATCGACCCAGAATTCAGTTTCAACCTGGTCACCTGCTATGGACGGGATACCCGAACCATCAAAAGCTGAGCAGGCGATGTTGGACGCACGCTCTACCTCCTATGATTACAGACGGTTTAAGGCTTTCCAGGAAATATGGCCTGGTGGTGGTATCCACTTTGTCGTTGAGCCATCTAGGCCTCGATCAATGCTCCATCCCTCCCAAAGATAAACATATTTATTGTATATTATAGCATTAATAAAAATTAATATTTAATTAAGGGTACGAAACTAAAAAGTGACATTCATTGACTATGATACTCGTGCATGTTAGCACTAATGTCATAGATTTTTAATTTCAATCACCAAAATTTAAATTGACAGCTTTATATATAAAAAAAATTAATATATATAAACATTTCATTTCTCTTTTTCTTTTTTTTTTTCGCATTAATTTTGAGTTGAGTAATCATGTAAGCAAACCCAATAAACTCAAGATCTATCATTGATCTATCATTTTTTAATTTAATTAAGGGTGCAATAATTATATGAAAAACACGCCCCATCCAACTTTCAAACATAATTTTCATGCTATAATTAACAATATATTTATATAGGTAAGTGCAGAGAAAAACTTAAGGCTAAAACTAAGAAAGCTTGCTCTACAATTATATTTACAGATAATTCACTTATGCTAAAGTTGGTAAATATTTTTTTTTTAATTTTTTTAGTAAATTGTAAAGAATCGCCTATAATTTTGGGGGTAAACAATCAAGAATTACAAATCCAGTAAAACTGTAAAACCCAGAAACCCCTGCTACTAGAGGGTAACTGTGAATATAAAAGAATTGGCATGCCAGTTTTACAAGCAAAACGAATAGGGAAAAAATATGGAGCAAAGAATAAACACAACATTTCTCCCTCTCAGCAATGGTGATTGTTTTGTAGCAAACATTGGAAACGATATTACATCAGACATTAATATCTGCACGCTTTGATCTAGTGCTGCTGCTGATTTCTTGGGAGCCACTAAAGGAGAATCTTGGGAGGCTGTAATTCTCAGTCACTGAAACTGGCTGTTGAGGGTAAAGCGTGGGAGGTGGAGTCAGATTGCGCTGAGCTGGTAAGGGAGGAAGCATGTTGTAATTATAAGGGTCGCCACTCAAACTGCAATCAACAGAAAGTTTTAAGTAGGAAGCATCTTTTCATGTAGAACACCACAACAATGGGAAAGAAAGAAGAAGAAAAATGTTATTCCTCACATAAAAGTTTCCCAAGGTTACTTCTTAGACAGACTTACCTTGTACGCTTGTACAACTGATCATCATCACTGGAATTTTCATCTAAACGTTGAGAAGGTCTCTGAGCAGGAGATATGGACCATGTATTTGGGGTTGGTAAGTCATCTGAAAAATATCTTCTCCTGATCAACTGAAACAAGTATCATATAAGTTTAACAAGATCTAACACACTAAATTTTGAGAAGCTAGAATACAAAAGCAAGCAAAGAGAAAAATAATACCATGCGAAAAAATTTCATTACACCTTCCTTGTCATATCTTGCATCTTTCGCAGCCTGTAAACATCAAGCAAAATGTTAGATATCTACAATTTGCAAAAGTCCAAATTAATTGTTACATTGGGTTTGCCATGCTCATCAAAGGTATCAGATTTTTACCAACCCTACATTTTTGCTAAAGATTTTAACAGCATATCCTGGTTGATTTATCAGCTAAACTAGGGAAGCTGCCATGGCCAGCGATAGTGGTGATATCTTACGCTCATTTTCACTTGGAGAGCAATTTGCTGAAATAAATGTCTTCCGCAAAAAGATAAGAATTTACGTTGTTTGAACTCAAGAACAAACATTTTCTGGTGTTTTCTTATCCAATGAAAAATCTTCCTTGCCACCAACCCTGCAACTCAAACTTAATTTCTCTCAGAAAAACCAGACCCTTTTACTCAATAAGCAATAACTATGACCTTAATTTGCCATTCCAAACTCAGATAAACACAGATTTCATACACAATTAGTAAGAACATCAAAATTTATTTGTTCTACGTGCATGGCAAAACCAACAAGTTTGCCCCTTTCTTGCCACCGCAAGGATGCAGATTCAGAATCAAAACTAACCCCATTCGTAGAGCAACTACCAGCCATCAAAATATCCACAGATCTTACCAAACATCATAACAAATTAGCAAGAATATCTGAACAAGTGTAGGTGCAAACCGAAGACCATTTGTTGAGATTAGAAATTAGTTTGGAAAAGGTTTGAAACTATTAGGGCTTAAACGAGAGAGAGAGAGAGAGAGAGAGAGGCTCTGCTGACCAGCAACAGGGGTTGGTCCTGTGCAGGAGGAAAATATATAGATCAAGATCTTTCTGGAAGGCAGGGGAGGAGAAAGAAGGGGAGAAGGTGATTGGTACCTGCTATGGGATGACTTAGTGATGCAAGGGAGGTAATGTGATGGAGGATGGAAATATGCTGGTTGAGGGATTATGTTATCTAGGACATTATTTTTTACTTTAGGGGTTTGATTGTAATCTTTACATATATTTAGGTTATTTTATATTAATTAATATTTTATTTCTTTTCCAAGTACTAAGGTTTTAGGGTTATATTTGGTATTTTGTATCTTATTAGGGGTTACAGGTTTAGTAATAAAAACCCTATGTTGGTTTGGTTGATGAATGCTTGAGATTTTGAGATATTGATTATTGAGATTTTCTCCCTCTATTGATTCTTTCTAGTTTTCTCCCTTTGTTCTTTTTTTTCTCTATCTCCTCTATTCCTCCCTAAATGCTTCTGTCTGTCTCTGACTTTCCCTCTAAATTTCTATTTGATCTCTTTCCCCTACTTGTTCTACATCACAATGAGTCAGAGAAGGTTCTACATTGAAATAGACCAATTAACATGAAACACCCCAGTTTCCCCCATAAATTTTGGAAAGGATATAATAAGGAAAGAATAAAATAAGAAATTCTTACTCTAACCAACATATATGCAAGTCAATGCATAAGTTAAAAATACTTACTGCAATTAGGCCTCCACTGCCAGGAAAACTCTCAGTCAGTGGAAGCTCTTCACTAGATGGAAGCAAACCCTGCTTCTCAACCCACTGACGAGCTACATCAACAAGATTGCCACTGCTACCTCTCGTACCCTCTTTAGCAGCAATATCAGCTTTGTTACCAATAACAATATATGGGACAGGAAGTCCCCCAGGACCTCCAGAACCTAGAGGAGCTGAAAATGTCCCAGTTGCTGCAATCTCAGCTGCCCACTTCTGCAGGCTTGTTTTTGTTCGCCGTTGAGAAAGATCATGAACAAAAATAACACCTGCACAAAATTTCAACGCAGAATCATGAGAGTAAATCACAGGTCAAAGAGCTGGCAGTAATTACAAAAGGCTAGTATGGGAAGATGGAGAAGGAAAAAGTTCCCACATGCTGATAATTAGACACATATCATTTTTCTCAAGCAAAGAGATTAAGTACTCACCATTAATTTGTGAATAAAAAAGAGACCGACAATCTTTGTATCGCTCATGTCCCGACACATCCCAGAGTTCAATGAAGAAATCTCTCTCAGTGTCCCCTTTTAAGCTACTTGAAGAGCTACCAGGACTACCATATGTGGTATGCTGTGTAGAGATGGTGGTGGTTACTTGGTGAATGAACTTAAACAATAACTTTATAAAGCAGCAAAGGAGTACAAAGTTTTACCTTCACACCAACTGTGCATCCAATAGTTTGAGGGGGGTGAGCAGTGGAAGAGCCTTTGACAATCAGATGAACAAGAGAAGTTTTCCCCACACCTGTCAAAAGACTAAGATTCAAGCTAAAGTTCGGCATCTAATAAAAGGTTGAAAACAAACATTTTTATATTTAATTTAAGCATGAAAAGTAAACAAATCAGAACAGCAGATCAAAAGTCAGCGTACTGCCCAATAATGGAACAACAAAGCGTCAAAAACACTCAAGGAGCCAGAAACAAATCAATAAAACATCCAAAGGAAATCACATAGGAACATTAAACTAGTGATTCCTTTGTAAAGATTTCTTCTCTTGAAACAGAAAGAAATAAAACAGTCATTAACAAATTACTGAAGTACCATCACCAAGGCCATGCAGATTTTTGCTTAAACTGACTTGAAGCGTACTATTAGCTCAAGTGTTAAGGGTGGGAAGGAGCATGGTTAAAGATCCTTGGTTCAAGCCATAATGCTCCCTGTTATACCAATAAAAAGAATTGAAGCGTACCATCTTAGCTCTTAAGATTAATGATTTACCTAGTAAACCTACTAAAACTTCTACCTTCTTCTCATTTCTTTCAAATCTTAATATATCATCCCGTATTCATTTCTTATACATACATATCACACACTAGATCTCCTCAACCAAAAACCGAGCCAGTCAGGCAATTGTTTCACACCATACTTCATCTATCATTTGTAGCATTAATGGCTATTAATCAAGTTCTCAAAATTTTTATGCAGAAACAAAACCATTTGTTACTTTAATTCCTTTTATCCTTACATTTTGGCAAGTAAACCAAACGTTCTTATTTGTCCAGCAGAGTTCCACTTCAGGAATCTTAAACTGAAATCCATATATTTAACCAATCCACAAAATCAGCAACAGCTAAACTAAACAAAGACAATTAAAACAATTTTATAGAATACAAACTCATTAAACACCCTAAACAGCTACTCCATACAGCAAAACGCAGACAAATTTTCAAAAGGCAAACACAATATATGAATAAAAAAAAGTAAAATTTGAATACCTGAATCACCAACAACAAGAACTCTAACCTGCCCACAAGGAGGTCCCCCATTAAGCTCTTTGTTATCCCTCTCACGTTCCCTCCAAAACATGCCTTTTTTTTATTATTTTTTCTTCTCTCACAACCAAAGCGGTGAAAATCTGCTCCAACAAAACACTTAAAACTCTACAAACAATAGCAATACTAGTCAAGTCCCATCAAACAGGCACAAATCCAAAGTAGGGCAACAATTTCTCGAAATGGGTTCCCAATATTTCCATCCAAAATCCATCTCACACCAAAACCCACCCAAGATCTACACCCAAATCCACGATCCTAAAGCTCGTCGTTTCTGAACGAAATTGGATCTAACAAAAAGATGGGTATCTTTACAATGGTAGGACGAGAACTGGGCATCTCTTTGAATTTCAGATTAGAGCTTCCAAACTTCGGTTTAAAACTATATTTTCCCAGAAAGAAAACAACGTTTTTAGTGCTGTTGATAAGAAGATTAGGAAAATGTGGGAAATCAATCAGATTAAAAATAGAAATGAAAAAGAAATAAGTTAAAGCAGGGAATGTAAAATTGGCTTTCTGATGGATTGATCAGTAATAATTAATATCTGGTTTTTTTTCATGTGCTGATAAGTATATGATTAAACGGATTCATACAGGCCCACCTCGAGCTCAATTCAATGGGCTTATGATCTGATTCATCCGAAAGTGTTAATGAGCAAAGTTTATCACATACGTGTAAATGGGCCTGTCATATGCAAAAATCACATGCTTAGCATTAAATTTTTTTTTCCATAAATGTTAATTTTTGAGTTTTAAATTTATTGGATAAGTAGAGGCATGAACAGACTGGATTAGCATTAGAATGTGCTCCCATGTTTGAATAAATATACTAATTATGCATCAAATACAAATATTTTCTTTTAATATATCTTAAATTGATTATTACTCAATACATTCACAATAAATTTTATTCAACATATCTATGTGAATGATCATACGTTGTATTTATATAATATTATTATTTTGCAATTATATCCTATATTCACATGGAGCTTCATTCACAACAACAAATGCATCGGTTTTTTTCCTTAAAGAAAAAGTAATTTATTTATAACTAATTTACGGATAAAAAGTTCCAATAACAAAGATGGAAACTAAAATTATAACATCAACAACATCAATAGGCGGCTGAAGTCAATCCACTAGCTTCCTCCAATCCTATTGAATTGGACTAAAAGTGGGTTTGGGGGCGGGGGTCGAGCCACTCTCCAATGGGCTTAATTTTGAACCATTCAGCCCAGAAAAAGCGTAGTGGAAAAATTAGTTTCAACTAATCTCTCAAAAGCATTTTATCTGTATAACACACATATGCAAGTATTTTTTTTTTTTTTTTCATGTAGAAGAGGAAGAGGGAGGAGAAGCCTGCAAGGTCCAAGTATTGGGAACGATAAGGGGGGGCATTTGATTGTAGTAAACCATGCATGGGCTCTCATGATTATGAACACCTTCATAGGTGGTTATAACATAAGTTTTGTCATCTCTGTCCCTTTCTATCCTCTTCTTCACATTGCATCCGCCACTTGAACATTTATAATAATTCCTACATAAATAAAAATATTTATTCACATCAGGTCATTATCATGATCGACCATGAAAACAAATGGGGAATACATAATTGATATACAAATTCATCGCTATATTTATGAATCTATTATTTTTATTACAATTAATTTTGGATCATATAATAGGAGGCAGCAAAGCATTATTTGCTTTTACGTGGTCCATTATGTAATTAATTTTCAGAGAGGCTGTCAAGTAGTCCTTTCACAGCTTCCCCATGTTTGCCCATCGAGATATATAAACATAAATATAAATATATATATATATATATATATATGCCTCAGCCCAATTTCATTCATACACAGCTCAAGCAGAGAAGCTGGAGCAGCCATATTAGGCGCCCTTGAGCCTCAGACGGTACAGCCATCCACTTGCTCTTAAGTATTAACAAAATAAGCATCTCTGGACCCCAGGCAACCAACATGTACTTAAACAATATGAAGCCTTCAAGCAAGACGGCAGAGGCTGAACTTAATTACTATAACAAAATTTTCAACTGGCAGCTTTTTATCGAACTTAAATGATAGACTCCCCGAAGAAACTAGATTCATTTATTAGCTATGATTGTATCAGAAGGGATTGAATATAAACATATATATATATATATATATATATATATATATATACTCCCCGAAGAAACTAGATTCATTTATTAGCTATGATTGTATCAGAAGGGATTGAATATAAACATATATATATATATATATATAACTTTACCCAAATTGAGAGAGAGAGAGAGAGAGATGGTGACCGTGCACCACAAGTTCTACAGCCAGCTGCCAGGAAAATGCATGGCTATGGTTTGGTTTTGGGCAAAACAGATAGAAAAGGAAAAATCACATGTACTGTGGGCACATGACATGATGATACCGCAATAGCCCACCGTGCATGTGGACTGGGGAGTAATCGATGCCTCTTGCACTTGCAGTCTACTTCACAGACAATGGCAATTTGGCAAATGTAATTTGCTTGACATTGTGGCGTCCCACCCACCCCCTTCGGATTTAATTGGCTACAAACCATCCTACTCTAGCACGTGATGTCTTGATTCATCTCTATAGATGTTAAATTATATGGCAGCAAACCAACCTTCCCAAGGGTTTTTTCTAAACTAAACTAAAGCTAGCTTAACATCCATAGGAGTGCAAAACTATGTGCTTAGGATAGGAAAGAAATGATTTGTAGTTTTGTTATTTCAAGATACGAGTTATTCGAATTTAACTCTTTGAACATGAAATGCTAGCATGATTAATCATTACTTTAAAAATTTTAGTTAGATTTAACTTATAATTGAAGAAAAATAAATGGTATGCTAATTAACGTATTGTTATAGATTATTAGTAAAAAAGCTAGAATTATATCATATAATCCCCCATGCAGCCCATTTTGTGATCCAAATCCATTGTTTTTAGATAGATTATTGTGTGCTTATAGTTGAATATAATTTCTAAATTTTTATCAAGTTGGAAATATATAATAAATATCAAAGAAATTACTATGAACCACCATAGATGTACACAAAGTTATGGGGTCCGCTCAAAATTTAAAACATGTTGATATCTAGTGGTTTCAATATCAAGGAAATTAAAATATTCATATCATATATGTTATCGATCATTTCATGCAATAAGATAGACCCAAAGTCAAAATACCTTATTCTTCTTATTCTCAGATTGTTCTGATCATAATTAGTAGCAAATTACCTTGGATTCGGGCTGTTCTTCACCGACTTTTTCCCATATTTCCTCCATTTGTATCCATCATCCATGACTTCCATCTCTGATTTCGTTCTAAATGCAACTCGATGCCCCACTTCCAACTTGTTTTTCCTCACTCCACTTTTGCATTTTCTACAATTTTTAAAACAAAATAAAAAAAAAACCCTTTATTTCTTAAACAATAATAAAACTAATGATAATAACTATAGTACTTTTTTACTTAATTTACTTTTTTTTTTTTTTTTTTGGGTTTTCAAGAAGAAACCAAAAAAGAAAATGCAAAATCCCAGTGGGGGGCTTATGTATAAAAATCACTTGCATGTTTGTACTATTTTTTGATGTTGCACCACAAATTTCATTAGCTCCGCCCATGCCCTTCTCCGGTGACGCCATACTTTGCGACGACGTATCTTCCTCGAAGGCGCCACCATCAAGCATAAGATAATCCGACAGCTCGAACTCCGCCATGGGGTCGAAGTTTTCAGAGAAGAAGGTATAATTAGGGTTAGGGTTTGAGTTCTCATGAGAGAAGTCCATTTCAAAGGAAAGCTGGACTTTGGCCTTTGGTCTTTTGATGGTGTGTAGGAAGGGAAACTTGGAACGCATAGAAGAAACCATTTTATACTTATATAAATAAATAATTTTAAATTTCTCAAAAATCTAAGGATTATCTTTCTTTTTTTCCTTTATTTTTATTTATTTTTATGAGCTGCTGTTTCATGGACACTTTCCTGGAAGGATGCAACGAAGCTGCTTTGGTGGTGCCACGTGGCGGTCTCCGCTAAGTGACGTCACGGGGATGACATATGTGCTGAACTTTAATGCATTCGACTTGGACCACTTTAATAATAATACTCAATTGTCGTTTTCGTAGGCTGGAATCATTGTCTGTGGGAGAAAGTATTCTGTGTAATCTACTCAGACGAAAGTAATCACTACCGTACTTGTGAACCTATCATTTTTTTTTTTTTATAATGATTCGTACCATTATCGTCTTATCGATTTCTTTTTAGGAACGGTTTGGATTTGCAGGTATTAATCTAATATTTTATTTATAAAATATATAGTTACATAGATAAATATACCTCATTTATACATATTCATACGTTTACGTGCAAATATAAATATTAAAAATTATAAACATTTAACATCTAAATTTTTAAATTTCAAATAAATATAATAAATATAATAAAGTATTATTTAATAATCTAATTTAATAAACATATATATACATTATATAATAAATAAATGATATTCTTGCTATCAAACTATTTATAAATAATATGGAAGTAATAATTAAAGATTTTATGAACATTAATTTCATATGACTAATTGGATAATTAAATTACACATTTTGACATTTCCCATTATCATATGTTATCAGTTTTTAATGAATTTGAGATTCATTTACTCCATATAAATTTAAATGGCACCCACATAATAGATATTAATTAAGTAATTGTAATAAAAAATTAATTTAATTTTAGATTCCACCTCAAATTGTACGCAGAGAAAATTTATTAATAATGTCCTAATTTTTATATAGTAATTTTATTGCTTTTGTCATTTTTTAAAAACTATTTAAACAACCGTACATGATTAATGAAATTTTATTAGGTGTGAAAGCAATAAACTATTGTCAAGTGACGAAAAAGAAGTGTGAAAATGGAATATAATTCCATTTATTATAATAAAAAATTATGGATATTTAATATCTATTATTTTCATCAAAATTAGTTTGGTTTTAAATAATTATATATGTGTGATTGATTTCAATAATGGGCTTGAATTTGAAATTTCTCCTTTGAGAAGTTTTAATATTAGGGTATATTTGACACGAGGTGTTCTTCTTAAATGGGTAAAAGAAGAGTCAAAAGCAGATTCTAAGGTCAACCGAGCATGAGTGTCCAATGGATCACCAACTCATGACATGAAGAGGCAGTAACCTGGAAATCCTATGAAACAGACGATTTTCAATTTGTTTGTTTATTTTATTTATATGGTTCTTGTGGTTAGTAAAAAAGTGATGTGAGAAACTGCAAGGAAATGTGTTCAAGATAAGATCTTGACCTCATCAAAACTTTCCATTTGTTTCATTATAATTGTTATATATTTTGGCATTGGAAACCAGGGACGAAGCTTCATTTGACAGCACTAACCACTATTTGCTAGACAATTTTTCAAAGATTTTACCACATCTTTTGACCCGAATGAATTAAGATTAAATTTAATTTCCTATTACTTCGCTAAAACCATTTACATTTTTTTGCTCGTAATATTCAGTGATCTTGATTTCATTTTTTGCTTTCATTAGATTCGATACATATGTTAACGTTATAATTCAAAAAGCAGAATTTGAATTCCATTTCTTAAAATTAAAAAAAAAAAGGTTAATTATAAAAAAAAGTTGCACAATTACATACTTTTTACAGTAATCCACAGTGAGATCTAGCGAAGTGTTGCTTTCTTCCAGAAAAGCTTGACTGGATACGGGAAGACTTGCTTGGAACTTCATGAGAAAGGAATGGATAATAGAAAAGTCGGTAAGTGAAACAAAATAACCAATCAAGTGACACATTTGTTTTGAGTGGGGCTCCAATGATTGTTGGAGTTGGGACTCCCCCTGCCACACTCTCCAACTCCAAGAAAGCACTTTCCTGGAATTGGTGTTTTGCTCACCAACCCTCCAATCCATATATATAATTTTTTTCATCATGGAGGATTTTATTATTAAAGCCACACTAGCATATCTCTATTTTCAGTTCAGCAATTTTGATAGCACTATCACCATCATCCAGGGGTTCATGGTAGTTTCTTGATGTGGGCTATGGCAGCTGAAGCGCAAATGAGACATGAAATGAGGATTGACTTGTCTCTATATTTTCAAGCTATTGCTGTTCTTAATTTGGAGGAAACTTGAATTGCTTAAACTGTAAAGTTTCAAATGTCAATTTCAATAAAAGTGACTGGCTAACAACTCCATTAGTGTTGTGTACTTCATTTTGGTCATCCCATTTATAATTTTTGATGCTAACAGCTACCATCTCTTTCTCTTCCCTTTCCTTCTGCTTTCCATTATGTAAAATGCTTTTCTCCTCTTTATACCTACTTTCTCTTCCCCCCCATTTTCCTTTGTTGATCATAGTTGAAAGTTGACATCCCTTCAAGACATGCTTTGCCAGCTGCCTGGAAGAAAGTGGAAGCCTGGATTGAATTTCTCATTTGTTTAATTGCTTGTTTCCCAAGTTTGCAAACTCATGGTCCATTGCAATTCAGTAAAGGCCACATTAAATTTTTCAATAATTGCTACATACATACATATATATATATATATATATATATAATCAATCTGTTGATCTGTGCTTCTGTGTGCAGCATGTTGGAAAGGAAGCAAAGATGGTGTGCTACATAAACGGAGACAAATTCGAAAGAAATTTAATCGCATTTTATTTGTGGAGTCAAATTTATGGTAAATCAGAAATGATGAATAGATAAAAACAAATTAATAATTGCCAAGATCAAAATTCAAAGCTAGGCAAATTTCCAGCACTATATCTCATGATTTTGATTCCCCTAATGTGAAAGCTTCCCAGTCCCAGATACATGCACGGAGACATGTTAAGTCACCAAAAGAATGAACTAAGCGAACCAAAGTTCATACTCGTTTTTCTGCTTTTGTATGTTTGTGGCCTTGTGGGACAGCTTTTACCAGACATGGCTTAACCAAAATATCTGACTGAATAGATGTGAAATGGGAACTTATAGTAACGAATAAGTGTGTGATTAGGACCTTTGTCCAGTTCCTTGAAAAATTAATTTATAATAATTATTATATGTGATTCGGTTTTGATCGATTTTTTTATTTAAATTAAATTTAGATATTAAATATATATATTAAATTTAAAAAAAATTAAAAAAATAACTAAATCAAAGTATAAATTTTTATTAGATATATATTTTAAATTTTTATAAAATAAAATAATTATTTTATATTTAAATATATTAAATTTTACATTCAAATAATATATAAAAATAAAAATTCAAAATTAATAAATCAATCCAAATTAAATCGATAAGATTTAATTCGATTATGATAATATAAAATATCGATTTGAATTTGAATTAAATTTAAAAATTTATAATATTATATATTATCTTAAAAAATTAAATAAAATTTGATCCAAATCATTATCATTTTTATTTAAAACAGTGCCCAAAACTCTTTTACTAATATTGAACTTAATTTGGGATTTAATTAGGAAAAAAACTAAAGCATAAGTTGACCGTGAGCAAGAGAAACCAGGATAACCAATTAATCCAATAACATATACAGAGAGAGAGACAAAAGGAAAAGCAAAGCCTTTTGCATAGAGAAAAAGAAGAGTGAATTGCTGGCTTTTGACTGCTGAATGGTATTGTTTTGTTCATGAAAAGTGGCACCTAACTCCTTTATCCTTGATCTAACGAAGCACCCATTTTTAATATAGACATCAGACAAATGCGGCAGTTAAAGTAATCGGCCCTATAAATAATGTTATTGTCGAAAAATTTTAATAAGGAAAATGAAAAGAAGGAATTAAAAAAAAAAAGCTTTCATCCTAGTGGCGAACAATGGTAAAAGTGAGAGCATTGGGTTCTGTGGCAAATTTTGTTTGAAAATTGTGAGGCCATTTTATCTTTTAGATCATGACAATGACAAATCCTTCCATAAAAGGAATGGCCTAATGGGTCATTGGGCTCAAGCTAGCATGGTTGATTATTGGCATGAAAGTTTTGATGGCTCGTCCTAATTGGGCTGACAAGTTTCCTTTAGCCCAACAAAAACACACCGAAAAAAATTTGTATTTTCTCATTTTGGGTTGCTAAGGTTATACATGTTTATAAGTTATTTAGATTTGATTTAAATATAATTTAAATTTATTCGATTATTATCAAATCAAGTTTAAATTTAAATAATTTTATTTATTGATTGAATTAAGTTTAAATATTTGTTATTTGATTTAAGTAATTTACGAATTTAATCAAATTTTATATTTTAATATATTTTAATTATTTTAATTATAATATATTGAATTTAAACTTACGTTTGAACACAAATAATCAAGTTTTTATTAAATATAAAAATTTAATTATTTTTATATGTTAATTGAACATAATTGAGTGAGTTCATTTCTATTTTAAGTCAAGTTTTAGTTAAAAAAATAAAATTTGATCAAACACAAGTCGAGTTTCAAATTTTGAATTTAAAGTAGAGTTCAAACTCAAGCTTAATATTGTATCTACTTAAACTTAATTGATTATACTTTTAACAATGGCTAATTATTTGATTAAAATGAAATACCCATCTCTTATTCACTTTTCAAATGATCAAAAATAAAAAAGTGATAATAATTAAGATCAAATCGAATTTGATTTAATTTTTTGAATATATAATATTATAAAATTTTAAAATTTGATTTAAATCTGATTTGATTTTTTTGAAACTAATTTTGAATTTTACAGTTCAATTTGGTTTATCAATTTTAATTATTTTATTTTTTATATATTATTTTAATAAGTTTTTAATATATTTGAATAAATTTATATATAAAATAATTATTTTTATTTTATAAAAATTTAAATATATATTTTAATAAAAATATATAATTTGATTCGATTTGAAATCTGACTCAAACTTAATATATCTATTTAATATTTTAACTTGATTTGAATTAAATAAAAAAATCAATCTAAACCAAATAAAATACTCCGATTCCGATTTTTTTTTTCTCAATCCTAGTCCAAAGCAGTCTTTTTCTTTATCCCAAACTTCTGTTTCTTTTCGGTTTTCACGATCCAATCCCAGCCGCGGAAAACCCTTTTAGATTCGATCCAATTTGGATGCAATTGGGCCATCTTATCTCAGAAAGGCCGACACTTATTCCAGAACAAACCACTACAAAGCCCATAGCAAACAATCCCAAAACCCAAAATTTAACCCTAAATATTTCTAATATATATTGATCTCAAACCCTGCTTCATTTTCTCTAACAAAAACCCTAGCCTCCCACACTTCCACTCCCCCTTCCGCCACCCGAAGCATGGCCGCAGCAGCCGTTCGCCCTCTCGTCAATGTCCAAACCTTGGAAGGAGACATGGCTACCGACGCCGCCCCAACCGTCCCTCTGCCCGACGTCATGAAAGCCGCCATCCGCCCTGATGTTGTCAGCCACGTCCATGACAACATCTCCAAAAACAAACGTCAACCTTACGCCGTCTCCAAACGCGCTGGTCACCAGACCTCCGCCGAATCCTGGGGAACTGGTCGTGCCGTCTCACGTATTCCACGTGTCCCTGGTGGTGGTACCCACAGAGCTGGTCAAGGTGCTTTCGGTAACATGTGTCGTGGCGGTCGCATGTTTGCTCCAACCAAGATCTGGCGTCGCTGGCACCGCAAAATCAACGTTAACCTGAAGCGATACGCTGTCGTTTCAGCTATTTCCGCTTCGGCTATTCCTTCACTCGTGATGGCGCGTGGTCACCGCATCGAGTCGGTTCCGGAACTTCCACTTGTGATTTCGGATTCCGCTGAGGGCGTTGAGAAGACATCCGCTGCTATTAAGGTTTTGAAACAGATCGGGGCTTATGGCGATGTCGAGAAGGCCAAAGATAGCCAGGCGATTCGTCCCGGAAAGGGAAAAATGAGGAACCGTCGCTATATTTCTCGAAAAGGGCCATTGATTGTGTACGGGACAGAGGGAGCCAAGCTCGTAAGGGCATTCAGGAACATTCCTGGCGTGGAAATAGCCAATGTGGACAGACTGAATTTGCTCAAGCTTGCTCCTGGTGGACATTTGGGACGTTTCGTGATCTGGACCAAATCGGCTTTTGAGAAGCTTGATTCAATCTATGGGACTTTTGATAAGTCTTCAGAGAAGAAGAAGGGTTACGTGCTGCCCCGTCCCAAGATGGTTAATGCTGATTTGGCTAGGATTATCAACTCTGATGAGGTCCAATCGGTTGTGAAGCCGATTAAGAAGGACGTCAAGAGAGCACCAATGAAGAAGAACCCTCTTAAGAATTTGAATGCTATGCTGAAGCTTAACCCATATGCTAAAACTGCTAGGAGAATGTCTCTTTTGGCTGAGGCTCAACGAGTCAAGGCCAAGAAGGAGAAGCTCGACAAGAAAAGAAAACCCATCTCCAAGGTATTTGATTCTTTTGATTTTGTCTTGTCTTATTTGTTTTGCGTTTAGTTTACATTCTTGTTCGTATAATGATTTGTATTAAGTTTTTGTGGCATAGCTTGCTGTTCAATGTGATTAATTTGTTTCATCACTTGTGTATGTAGACCGATTGGCTTGATGCAATTGTTCGTATAATGATTTGTATTAAGTTTTTGTGGCCTTGCTTGCTATTCAGTGTGATTAATTTGTTGCATCACTTATGTATGTAAACCGATTTATTTGATGCAATTGTGGTATTAAAATGTATGTTCTTGTTTTATGAACCATTCTTTTAGTAATTTTTTCACTAAGATGCCAATGTTATCTTTTCCCAAATTGATGTTTGTCTGGTTTACATCGTACTAATTGTTTGATTAGTCTTAAAATTGCAAATAGAATTTTAAATAGTTTGACTACTAATGTTTTGTGGTTGTTATTGTAATCTGGTGTATCTTACAAATCTTTTTCCATCAAATTGTCCTTTTATAAGTGATAACTTACTTATGAACTTGTCTTTCTTTCGTGGAAAGATAGCCTCATTCTATATAAGGTGGCCCTAAAAGTTTGAAAGAGTTTTTCTATACATATCTATTTAAATATCTGATTGCAATGAACTGTTTAAATGTTCTAGTTTCCTTAAACAACTGTGGTTTATCTTGGATTGCTTCCTGAATATTTTTGAACCTCTGGATTGGCTTTTCTTATTGGTTCCCCATTCTCCTTTGGACCTTTCAGGAGGAGGCAGCCGCAATCAAGTCAGCAGGAAAGGCGTGGTACCAGACAATGATCTCTGATAGTGACTACGCAGAGTTTGAGAACTTCTCTAAGTGGCTTGGTGTATCACAGTAATTTAGCACTATTTGTTTTAGAAAGTCTCTTTGGACCATATTTTGTTGATTGGTTTTGTTTTAGTGTTTTATATCTTTGCTGTTTGAGTTATGGATGAGTGGAGTGGAAGGCTGTACTTCCCTCTTTTTTGTCCATTTTTCTGGCTAGATGCAACAATTTCCTTTACAACGAGAACAAGTATTAAACATTATAGAATTGCAAGTTTCTCTTTTGGTAATGAAATGCTTTTTCTTCGTCTGCGATGTAGACTTAATTACACTGGTGCTTCTATTACAAAGATTTAATTTACGGTTTATTTCATTCGATTGTTATACCATTGGCATTAGAAAGAATTGAATTTTATTACAAACCTCTAGGAATCAGGGTTCTTGAGTTCTATGGCTGCTCATCAGTGGTGGTAGTTGAATTTGTGACTTGCATTAGTTCATTCAAGTTATATTTGTATTCCTTTGTAACATGTGTTCATACAATAGATGGGTTATTTCATTTTCTGAACTTACAATCTAATGAAGCTCTACCTCATTACCACTTACCACTTCTTCTCCAACTTAATATTTTTATGAAGCTCTATCCCTAAATATGGGGATATATCAGGATATCCATGTTGTGGTTTTGCCATGCGGATCCCTGTATTTGTTTGCTTTCCCCACATACTCTTTGGTACATAACCTTCTTAGAGTTCTACCATACTTCACCTTTTTTCATGAGAGATTACATTTAAAAGAACATTGCCTTTAGGGTGCTAATCTTTTTTAAAAAATTTTAATATTCTTTTCGTACCCCCATTATTTTTTTTAATCAATCCCATTTCTACTTTAAACTTTCTTGATTATCTAGAAAGTTATTTTCAAAATCATTTATAACTTATCTTACTCGTATCATAATTCATACAGGTTTCTGTTTGGACTTGTTACATCACTTTCGGTTTTTTTTTTTTTTTTGACCAAAAGGCAAAAATATCTTTCTAATAAAATTCAATAATCATATTAGTTTTTTACATTTTATTACCTTTAATTAAGTTTTAATTTTTTTTATTTCAAATATTGGAGTCTCTAAATATTTATTTTCCCGTAATTGAATATTTAAATATTTATTTTTATTTCAATTGAATCATTGAGTAGGCGAAATTGATATCGATGATTAAACAATTTTAGTCTATTAAGAATTTGATTGATGAAAATTAATGGTTAAAGATTTAATTGGTAGTAACAAAATCATAATAAATTAAATTATTATTTCATTTTTATTCCTTTTTTTGACCCTTTAGCTTTTTTTTTTTTTTAAATTTGCCTAAGCAATTCCAGATCTTATATCGAAAAAGACAATTATAACCTGCATTTTTATTGAATATTAAGATAATTCAATTTTTTTCATCGGGAGGGTAAGATAAGAATGGATAAAGTCTAATAAAATTGGAGACTGATAGATATGACAGAACATCTTGTCCGAACGAAAAATAGTTGAAAACAAAACAAAACCTAACCGCAAAAAGAAAGAGCCAAAGGAAAAGAGCAACTATAGCATAGCAGATAGCATTATAGCACTAAACTTTTCTAAAAATTTTGATATTATTTTTGTAACCCATTATTGTTTTTCATTCAATCCCATTTGTACTTTTAACTTTCTTGATTATCTAGAAAGTTATTTTCAAAATCATTTAAGACCTATCTTACTCGCTCATAACATACTTCATACTGGTTACTGTTTAAAAAAGTTAAAAAAAATTATTTAAGCTTTTAATATTTTATTACAATTAATTTAAATTATAAAATTTTTTAATTTTGAATTAAATAATTTTTGTTTAATAAAAATTCAATTAAAAAATAGATATTTAAAAATTTAATTGATTGCTATTAAAAGTTTAAATAACCACTTAATTTTTGTTCAAAATTTTTTTTGATTCTTTAAATTTTTTAATTTGTTTAAGCAGGATTTATCTCAAGAAAGACGATTAACCCGCATTGTTTAAGCATAAGATAAGAATGGCTTGAGTCTGATAAAATTGAAGACTGATAAATACGACAAAGCATGTTTACCCAAACGAAAAATAGTTGAAAACAAAACAAAACCTAACCCCAGAAAGAAAGACTCAAAGAGACAAAAGAAAAGAGCTAATCATAGCATAGCTACCATGTACCAAGTTTAATAACTACTAAGCTCATCCACGAAAGCTTTAAGGTTCTTATCTGATGATCCATTTTCCTTAGCAGCTTCTCTCGCCAAGTGTTTCCATTTCATGGCATTCCTTCTCGTTTCTTTTGCTCTTTCCCCACCTCCCATCACCAATTCCAGGCATCTCTTTATCTCGCAACCTTCAACTATTCCTTCATCATTCTTCTTCACTCTCTCCCCTGTTTTCCACACATCCTGGACGAGCTTTGCAGTGGTTGGCTGATCTGACCATTGTGGAAATGTCACCATAGGAACCCCAAAAACCAGGCTTTCAAAAGTTGAGTTCCATCCGCTATGCGTCAGGAAACATCCAACAGATGGATGGACAAGAACTTCCACTTGTGAACACCATGGCACTATCATCCCTTGCTTTTCCAATTCCTTCTGACAACTCAATCCCTCCTCTTCTTCTTTCTGTTCTACTCCACCTTCCCTTATCACCCACAAAAATGGACGGCCAGTGTCAAGTAACCCATTTGCTAGTTCTTCCATCTGAGGTTTTGCCAACAGAGACAGGCTTCCAAATGATACATAAATGACTGAACTTTCAGGCTTAGAGTTAAGCCATTCCATTACTTTATACTCCTTTTTGACCTTGAAAAGGTCACCCCCAAAGGAAGTTTCGGATGGGTTTTTTCCATCCACAAAAGCAGATGGCATTAAAGGTCCAATTCCCACTAAATTGTACTTGTCCAGAGCTTTCATGGCTTCAGCTTCTAATGCATCAAAAGTATTGACCAAAACTCTTGGGTTGGTTTCTTGGTCAAGAATCTGAATATGAGCGTTAAATTCCAAGAGCGCAAAAGCATAAGGATTTGGGGTTACGAAAAAGGAAGGCACATCATTGCGAGAAAGCAGTGGCAATCCCGGAAATTCCATCACAAACGAGGGATCGTTGATACCGTGTTCGATGACATTCTCATAGCCTTTATAGTAATGATAATAGATGTTCAAAATACTAGCAGCTTGATTCCAGAGGAAAGTGGTCGGGATATGAAACTCGCGAGCCACCACTGGCACCCAAGGGAGAATAGTGCAATAAACAATACATCCAAACCGTGTGCCTTGACTGATACTTTGAGCAATGAGCTCTCTCAAGGTTTTAGAACCGCAACGCCTAGTCTCAACCATGTAATGCTTGACATCATCGGTGCCATGGTTAAACCCTTGGTCATAACCGTTGGAAAAAGTGGCATAGGATAAGCCCTCTGGAACGGAAGTTTTGTTCATTTGGTTGAAGGCAGAAACGGCAGTCATGAAAGTGACACGGACGCCATTGCCTATCAGTTTCTTGGCAAATTGGAGGGAAGGGTTAATGTGGCCTTGAGCAGGAAATGTTACTAAGAGGATATGGTGTTGAGCCATGCGAAGGAAAGCCAAGGGCTAAAACTTGAGCTGTGGAGTGGAATTTGTGTAGTGAAATTGTAGAGAGTATTGAAGGATTTTTATATAACAATTCGACAGATTGAGATTGAATATGTGACGTTTGCGGTGACGTTGTTGAAATTCAATGCTGTGAAAATGTGAATCCTATACGAATTATACGATCAAATGTTGAAGAAGACAATGGCGACAGCGACTTTCACAAACAACAAAGAAACAGCAGCCATGAATTGAACTCGGCATAAACCAGAAGCATCACCTCTCACTTCATTTATTATCACCACAAACAAATACACGTGATTCTAGCCACCAATTGCACTAAAACTTCGGACATATAAGACATATTTTGATAAACTTTTCTTACAACACATACAAGATATATTGGTTCGATCGGTTCCTCAAAAGATGTTTTTTATTTGGAAGGATCTAATTTAATAGACTTCATTTGTCATCTTTGTCATAAGTAGATTATTAATTATTGTTACAAAATGAGTTGGGTTACATTTAATTTTTGACAAGTACAACATTTTTTTGTCCATACAATTTCCAACTCGATCTCTCGTACTTTTCATTACTGAATTTTAGTACTTTTATTTATCACTAAACACCATGAAAACCTTCAAGTTATATATGCTTGGAATTCTAGTACAACACTAAAATTTTCGAGTAAATAACATCTGCATATTCATAATTGTTATGTGTACATTTTATTTTTTATAATTTTTAAAATTTAATTTTTAGATCATTATTTTTTAAAAATATTTTAAATTTATTTATTTTCATTTGATATCATTAAAATATAATGGAATTTATTAACTTAGTAGTAAGCAAATGTTCATGTGAATATTCATCTGGTAAAAAGAAAAATCTTTTTTTTTAAATTTTTTTTTTGTTGAAATTTATGTTATTTGACATTCATACCACATTGAAGTGGCATTACATATGATTGACCTACTTTACTTAAGTGTTTCTAAGCTCACCACGAAAGCTTTAAGGTTAGCGTTGGAGGACCCACCTTCCATGGCGGCTTCTCTTGCCAAGTCTTTCCATTTCCTGGCATTCCTTCTTATTTCTTCTCCTCTCATGTCGCCTCCCATCACCATTTCCAAGCATCTTTTTATCTCACGACCTTCAACTATTCCTTCTTCATTCTTTGTCAACCTCACCCCTGTCTTCCACGCATCTTGGACGAGCTTTGAATTTGTTCCTTGATCTGTCCATTGAGGGAAGGTCACCATTGGAACCCCTGAAACCAAGCTTTCAAACGTTGAGTTCCATCCGCAATGCGTCACGAAACATCCAACAGATGGATGCGAAAGGACTTCCACTTGTGAACACCATGGCACTATCATCCCTTGCTTTTCCAAATCCTTTTGACAAGTCAATCCCTCCATTTCTTCTTCTTTCTCTTCTCCACTTTCCCTTATCACCCACAAAAATGGACGGCCTGTGTCTAACAACCCTTTTGCAAGTTCTTCCATCTGTGGTTTTGCCAATACCGAAAGGCTTCCAAATGATACATAAATGACTGATCTTTCAGGCTTTGAGTTGAGCCATTCCATTTCCCTATACTCTTTTGTAACTTTAAAAAGGTCACCTCCGGAGGAAGTTTCAGCAAGTTTTTTTCTACCCAGAAAAGCAGTTGGAATTAGCGGGCCGATTCCAACTAACTTGTAGTACTTGTCAATGGCTTTTATAGCCTCAGCTTCTAACACATCGAACGTGTTAACTAGAACTCTTGGGTTGGTCTCTTGGTCAAGAATTTCTATATGCGCTTTAAATGCTAGCAGCGACATGACATGTGAGTTTGGAGGAATGAAAAAGGAAGGTAAGTCATGGCGAGATAGCAATGGCAACCCTGGGATTTTCACCAAAAATGAGGGATCATTGATGTCTTTGCTAATGATCTCATCATATCCTTTGAAGTAATGATAATAGATGTTCAGAAGACTAGCAGGTTGATTCCAAAGAAGCGTGGTTGGGATATGAAACTCACGAGCCACCGTTGCCACCCAAGGAACCAGAGTGCAGTAAACAATGCAAGTGAAGTTGGTGCCTCGATCAATACTTTGAGCAAGAAACTCCCTCAAGGTTTGAGAACCACAACGCTTAATCTCCGCCATGTAATGGTTGCTATCATCGGTAAGTTGAAAGCAATGGTCGTAACCATCTGAGAAATAGGCGTAGGATAAGCCTTGGAGAGGGGAAGTTTTGTTCATGAGGTGGATGGCAGAGGCAGCCGTCATGAAGGTGACATGAACGCCGATGCTTATCAGTCTCTTGGCGAATTGAAGGGAAGGGTTAATGTGGCCTTGGGAAGGAAACGTTACTAAGAGGATTTCGGGTTGGTGATCAGCCATTGAAAGGACAGCTTGATGGCTACAGATCAGTAGGTACAGGTTTTGGGGTGAGGAAATTGGAAGAGGAGTGTGAAGGATTTTATAGAATAACAATCGCAGTTCACTATGACGTTTGCAGTGACGCTGTTGAATCGAAAAGCTTTCGTAAGCTCGATATGACGCCTTTTACAGTAAGCTTGCGCGATTATCTGAGATATGACAGTCAAATGACACGTAATTTGATAATACAATATAATTATTTATAAGTAGTTAATTCAATCGAATAAATTTATTTTTTTCGTTAAAAAGATTTCAAATTTAATTTTTGTAAGTGATAATTTAATCAAGTTATTTCAATGTTGATTTGTAATTATTTATTTTAAATTATAAAAATGATATATTTTATATTAATTTAAGAGATTAAATAATTTATTTATCATCAATTTTTTTAAATAATTTAAAATTTTAATAATTATTATATATAAATATAGATTGAATAAAATTTAAAAAATATATTTTATATTTTTATATGGTTATAAATTATAATATAATGTTAATACAAAATGAAATATAAATAAATAAATTTAAATATTTTAATTATACAAATACACAATTAATAACGTGACATGTTTAGTAGCAAAGTTCTAACGTGATACTTCCTTGTTTCATTTGCTGACGGAACTACTCACAGTTCCGTCCTTGTCCTAAATTATGTCACTCTGGTTTGAGATTTTCAACTTTGATTATTAATATTTTAAATATTTTAATATTATTTTTTATAAAATTATATTTAAAATCTCTTTCATTTAAAATTATTTTTAAAAGTCAAATTAAAGAGACAAAATCAATACTATGAATTATTTAAATTTGAATTTGATTTAATATGTTAGAATATAGTAATAATTTAAATTCAAAGAAGGTATGACAATTCATAGATGATTATAGCATAAGTAAATTTCATTATAGTAATGTTTATCATTAAATAATGAAAAATTTTAATTTTATTGAAACTTTTAGATTTAAAATTTTTTTTTGATAATACAAGCTTATATATGATCTCACTGAAAAACTTTTCTAATAATGTCACTGAATTTTAAACGTAACTTTTTTTCAATTCATAAATTAGTTGATCCACACTAAGTATAATATTATATTATGGATATAAGAACATAAATAAAAAAAAAAAAAACAATAATTATAGAAAATAAGAAGTAAAATTATAATGAGATCGGGTTCGTATTGGGCCGAGTTGGACGGGTCGGGTCCACTGTAGTTTCGGAGTTATACGAAGGAAAAAAGGAAGGGACACATGGCAAGAAGGGAATCGGTATGTAAGTCTATTGATCCAACGGTTGAAAACTTAAGGCAAAGCAACTCGCGAATCACGGATAGACACCAGCACCATCATTGCAACCTCGCATAGTGAGTCGCTTTAATCAGAACCCAAACCAATACACCCAAAAACCCTAATCTACAAGAGCTTGATTGAGCTCTCCGATCATGGCCTTCTCTACTCGTCTCCTCTCCAAATCTCGCCAGGTATTTCTTCTTTATTCTAGATCTCTATTTACGATTTCCTTTATTTCTCTTCTGTTTTAATTCTAACCATCATTTAATCCTTTTTTTTTTTAATTTCGATCTTTCAGATTCAAAATGCTCATTTTTTTTGATTTGTTCGATTTTTTTTTATGTCTTTGGTGGATCTGTTGAAACTTCGTTGATTTTATTTTTTTATTTTTCTTAATATCAAAATTAATTACATGAAAGGGAAACTTGATGTTTAGATTAATATGATTTAATAAAAATTTTAATTTTTTTTTATTTTCGTCAAAATGCCCTATTAAAGTTCTGGATTTTGTCGAGTGTTTAATGAAAAAATGTTGAAATAAAAATTTGGTTTTTTTTTTTTTTTTTTTATAAAAATTCAGTGAGAAAATTTTGTTTTTAGTTTCTTTTTTTTCTTGTCACTTTTTTGTTATTAATTTAATTAACCTTCAATATATTATGTTTTGTTTGTAGTTGATGTTTGGCTGAGATGTTGCTTTTTTTTTTTTTTTTTTAAATCTCTGGGTAATTTGTACAGCTTTATGGTAGTCAAGCCATTCATGCTATCCCTGTCCGTTTTTACGCCAAAGAGGCTGCTCCCCCTGGCCCTCCTCTTAAGGGAGATCGTAAGTGTATATTGGGATCCTTGCTTTGCTTTTGACTTCAATGTGGAGTTTTGTTTTTTTTTTTTTCTCTACTAGCATCTTCTAGCTTGGATTATGCATATAGTGGCACTGTCATTATTGTTCATATTTCTGTGGTCTATTCATCTGTATGCTTGTTGCATATTTATGGGTGTAATTTGATTTCCTGTGAGCTAGAGGTTTTGATGTTTTGATGCATGTGTAGAAATAAAATGGGGTCAAATGCCATTGTCAATTTTTGATGTTTATGTTATCTATTACTAGTAGGTAATCGTTGACCATTTAGTGCAAATATGTGCAGTTTGATTCCTATTAATGCTTGATTTTTAATGTGGTCAACTGACGAATTTCTTTTGCTTTAATTAAAAAGAGATGTTGAAAAACATCTTTTTGGAGGTTAAGAAGAAATTCGAGACAGCATTGGGAATACTTAGGAAGGAAAAGATTATCATTGACCCAGATGACCCAGCTGCTGTCTCTCAGTATGCAAAGGTTATGAAGACAGTTAGAGAGAAGTAAGTTTTTTCTTTAATTGTTGACTTTTTCTACGATTCCTTTCCTTTGAACATTTGCACATCTGTTTTTATCTAGTTAGATTAAATTGTACTTGCTAGAACCTTGGAAAGACAATAAAGTAGAAAGTGGAAACAGGGATTGAGAGTGTGTCTTTGCCCCTGACCCTGAATTTTTAGGCTACAGTAGTGCTTCATCACTGGCTACAAGGAACACTCAATATTTGCCAACAAGCCCCTCTACCAACCAACCCAACCTCAACCATCCATCCATCCCGAAAACTGTATTTCTCTCATAAAAGTGTTGGTAATGAGGAAAACATGAGAATAAATTACTTAATCTACTCTAAAAGATTAAACCTAATGCTGTTGTAAAGTTTGAGTGTAAATATTTGTTTTAGAAATAACATCAAAATTAACCTTTATGAAACTCCATAATTATGCAGCTCCCACATACCTGTTTGAGATCTGGTGGATGACACACCCTATATAAAAAGGGGGATTTTATAAATTGTAACTGCATGCCCTATCTATTATATACCATTATTGAATCATACCTTCACCAGTGGTTTGTTCTTTTTTTTAATTTAAGTCAATAAGAAGATAATATGATGAGATTGTATTCAGTTATTTGCTTTGAAAACTGGTTTGTTCTGTTATTATGCTTGTTTTATGATTCCATTTTCATACCTTATGCTATCTTGTCATTGCAAACAAGATCAGATAGTGCATTGGATATGACATGCAATTCACTTCTTTATAATGTGTCGGCCTCTAATATCTGTCCTTCCTACAGGACTGATTATGTTTAAATACGTAGCCAGTAAGCATTCTTTTATTATGCTTGTTTATGATTCCATTTTCATACCTTATGCTATCTTGTCGATGTAAACAAGATCAAATAGTGCATTGGATATACATGCAATTCACTGCTTTATAATGTGTTGGACTCGAATATCTGTCCTTCCTGCAGGGCTGACTTGTTCTCAGAATCTCAGCGGATCCAATACACCGTCCAAACACGAACTCGGGACATTCCAGATGCTCGAACATATTTATTGACACTGAAGGATATAAGGATCAAGTATGTTGATCTCTACTTTTCAGCTATTGTTTATAAATCGTTAATAATGTAATGAATGCTGTGTTTCATAGTTTAATTTATTTGCCTCTTTTTTCTGCTATGTTAGTATGCTTATTTGATTCCTGCTCTCATCAGTTTTTTCTTCTTTATGCAAAGAATAAAAGTATAGCCTTCAACTAGTGAAAGTACTTGGAGTTTTGTTTTGTGATTTTCCTTTTAGAGTTGAATTAAGCATGCATGTTGCTCTCTTTTCATATTTTCTTTTCATTAACTCCTGGTATTATTTTCAAAGATGCTATGTCTACACTTATTGGATGATTAATCCTTTTATTTTATTTTATATCATTTTTCTACCTTCTGTAGGAGAGGACTCACTGATGAACTTGGTGCTGAGGCTATGATGATGGATGCTTTGGATAAAGTTGAAAAAGAAATCAAGAAGCCTCTTATGAGGGATGACAAGAAATCAATGGCTCTTCTTAATGCAGAGTTTGATAAGATTAATAAGAAGTAAGTATTTGTTTCAATAACTAAATATGTCTTATTCTTTTTACCATTGGCTAGGATTTACTGAAAATAGAAATGTTAATTTAACATGCAAGTTTTATTCTTGGACTCAGAATTAGCAAGATTCTTTATGAAATTCCAACAATGAGCTCAAAATGAAATTTTTAGCCATTTTATGAAGCATTTTTTTTTCTATATTGTGGTCCATCTTCACAGATTGGCTGCCGTAATATCTGGTCCATTTTTTCTATATGCTGTTGAAGAATTTTAAAGTAGCTTCTGTCCCTAATGTAAATTGGAGTGATATGTCTTACTATATAAGCTATTGAAGAATTTTATCTTTATGCTTGCTTCTGACCCTAAAATGAAATGGAGAGTTATGTTTTTGTTTTTTTCATCTAATTGCTTGTCTTACTAGGCTTGGAATTCGGAAGGAAGATTTTCCCAAGTATGAGGAACAATTGGAGCTAAAAATCGCGAAGGCACAACTGGATGAGCTGAAGAAGGATGCTCTTGAAGCAATGGAAACACAAAAGAAGCGGTATGTTAAAGTTCTGTTTTGCTATAATAAATCTCTTTCCTTTTTCACACTATGATTTCTTATGTAGTGGCCCTTTGGACTTTTGTCAGTTGTGTGGTTGGATGAAATTGGGTTAGTTCCTAGACAACCAAATCATTATCTGTCTAGTATTTGCAGTGATATGTTGGATGAATGTTTTATTTGCTTGCATGGCATCATTTATGAAATGTTTTACGTTTTAATCTTTGTTTTGTTAGCAATTGATGCGTTTTTTTCCCTGTTAATAACTTTCTATCTTCAGGGAGGAATTCAAGGATGAGGCAATGCCTGATGTTAAGTCTTTGGACATCCGACACTTCCTTTGAAATTCAAATTGCTTTTGGTGTTCCAGTTTGGAGGTTAACTTACGAGGTGAACAAGAGTTCCAGAATTGGGGAATACTTTTCTCATTTTGCTATTTATAATAATAAAAGAAGCAACTGGTCATTTGAAAGTGCACAACCATCTCATCTGAATGAGTTCAATGTTGTTTCGTGTTTATGATTTAACTACATTTTACAATCAGCTCAAGTAGTGGAAATCTTTTTGTTCATGCGCATGCTATTGAGTTCTGTTCAGCAAGTTCTTTGTTTCTTTCAACTGATGATATGGATCGGCTATGATTTGGTTCCTTTCGTATGTGAATCATTGTTCATTGATCAGATATCGGTGCATCTTTTGAGCTCTGAGGCAAAATCGTATCATACGTCAATCTGAATTCAGCCACCTTCCCTCTTGCAGCCATGCACTCAAAACTAACAAACCACCCAAGGACAGGTTCTTAATCTTGGCTCACCTCCAATTCAGCCAGAATTTGGACCAAACAAACCAATTTGATCTCATGTCCAGTTTGTTTTAAGGGGAAAATGAGCAGTCCAGAGTACATCGACGGAATGGTCACTCTCTGCTCACTGAAAACGTCATGATACTTTCCTTCTTTCAAAGGTGATTTGACTTTCCACGAAAGAAATCAGCCCTTGTATTTTGCTTCGTTGACACACTTAACGCACCTGCGAAGTCGTTATTTGGATCGGATTTTAGATGGCTCACAAATTGAAGCAATCCTTCTTTTGGAAAATTCCTGCCAATGTGACATTTTGCATCCTTAAATAAAAAAAATCATTATAATTTTTAAGGATCAAAATTTTTGTTTTTTGGGTAGCAGAGAACAACTTTGCTCCTTTTTTTTTTGTCAAAAATCTTTATAAATAAAAAAGGAACAATTGCAAACATGATCAAGAATTTAAGATTACAATAACTGAAATCTCGATGCCTATTCTACCAAAAATTGTGCAGATATTTGATATGCTGGTGCTGGCCAGGCCCAGCAATAAGTAATTTTCGATGCAGTGAAACACCAGCAATATCTAACTCCGCCGTTGAAGAAGACATTCGCCTCTGGCCACCTTTAGACAACCCATTATGACAACTGACTTTACACATAATTGTTTGTCCTGGTAACTATGATTTTCTCTTCTTACTTGATTTGGAACCATGGTCACCTTTACCTCTCTTTTTCCCACTTTTACTTGATTCATTCTGCTTCCCATGCTTCTCCACTCCACTTCTGCTGGATTTCACACTGATGAGACCACCTGAAAGCACCTTTTCACCACCATTTTCCAAAGCATTCTCCAGATCAGCTTCTCTGCCTTCAATGGCATATTGTTGGAGGAACTCGGGATCTAACAGACCATCTGTCTTGGTTTTCATTTCCTCCTATAGAGATGTAGAAGTTTTAGTTACAAAAGAGAAGAGACCCGCAGGAAGAAAAGAAACAAATAGCACACAGCACATGGACCATACCTCAGCTTTCTTTGCAGCATCGTTGAGGTCCTCGTCCACAGAGATACTATGAGGTTCCAGCACTCTCTGAAAGCAAAAAAAGAAGCAAAATTAATAAATCAAATTGCAGGTGACAACACCGGCTATACAATAAAGACATGCATAATACAGATTTGGAATAATTATTCCAGACAGTGGCATGAATTACAAGTTAACCTAATGACTTACTTCTTTTAATCGAGGTAAAGCAGAATCAATCTCCTTGGATGCAACTCCGTACAAATATTTGTAGAGCTTTATCATAACCTTCTTATATTGTGATAATATCTGCTGCCTCTCTAGTTTTTTCATTTGTTCCTGCAAAATGACAGTTCATTGGGGCAAATGAATATTCCATGGATTCTCAAGAATACATGCACATTAGAAACAGTTTTAACCAAAATTCTCCATCCTTCAATCCCTCTTAGACATAGAAAGCCCCAAATGTTAATGCCATGCAGATATGCAAGTCACTCTAGCTGAGTCCGTATTGTAATGTTCATACTACAAGACCAACAGGAGGTTTAAACCAAAGACATAGATTGAGGTCCTTTTTTCTCCATGTATGCAATAAGCAGTGATCAAAGAGTTATACAAGTCTAACCAAGTGTGCAGGTGTTAATGTGTAAGTAAGCATGTACAAAAAAGTTGAGTATCAAACCTCAACATAAGAGACATCCTGATTCTGCAAGCCCATGCAGAATAAAATAGAGGCCTGAACATACGATAGAGTAACCGGGATCTTCTCTTGGAAATATAGGTGTGCGAGGATTGACACAAGGTCACATATCTGAAAAGGGAAGTACAAAATTCTTAAAAAGGCAATATTTTCTGGAAGCCTCATGCAAGCATTTCTAAGCCAAATATTTAACATTCTTATGCACATTGAATCAGCCTTTAACAAGGCAACTCCATATCAGATAATGTTACTAAAATAAGTTTCACATCAATGGACATAAATTTTCTCATTCTGCAAGGTTTGATTAGTCTCTGCTATTGAATGGAAATAAAGACAGCATTTTAGGACACATCCTTTAAAGCCTGATAGAAGTCTGGCTACTTGACAGCAGATTGCTGAGATCACAATAATACTTTACTTTTCCCAACAGGTAAATTTCTCAAACAACTAAAAAGATAAATTAAAACCTAGATATAAACTTCATTATTAAGTGCAGATGTCATATTTTTTAGTGCCGTACCAGTGGGACATGAACTTAATTTATGAACAAATCACAAAATGTAGTGATGTACAACATTTTCTATCAGAATACTTACTGAGAGGTAGTCAATCAGATTATTTGTATAATCTTTCAACCGCCCCATATCATATGGTGATAATTGAGTACTAAATAACTTCGAAAATCCATCTGATTTGGAAGGCATAGGTTCTATATCTGTAAAGTTGATCTTAGGGTCCAGGACACTGCAAGATAGTAGCATCAGCATATTAACTGAGATAATCTAATTTCCAGGATATTAAATTTCAACACTGACCTCATGGCAAGCTTATATTCCATGTTACGGAAATGATGGCTTAGATTTCTACTGAACTTTAGCCTGAATTCTGCAACAGCCCAGGGAAATAAAATCGAGCTGAAATTACATATCAAAGCATTGACAGAAAAACATTCTTAGCTTATAAAGGACTTGCCTTGGTAAAATGGACTGAAGAAACCCCATTCATCAGATCCATCAACCTCAAAATCATTACTGTTCAATGGTTTAAGGACCATACATGTATGCTCACCAGTCACATTATTCTGTTCCGATTAAGAGGTGGAAAATATCAGATTCCCAATTGATCCTCCAATCCAGAGGTAAAATTTGACATACACAATCTAATATGGGGGGAAAGAAACAAGTAGGACAAAGATCATCTTAACTGGAATCTGGCATATATAGAAAGGAGCAAATTTGTGTTTCTTCCAGAAGCGAAAAAGGTCTAAGGTAAGCCCAAAGGAGACACCAAGGTAATGGAGCTTCTCAGGTCGGCGTTCACGCAAATGTACAAGCAAAGGTGGAAGATTGGTCCTAGGTTTAATATTTTCTTCCAACAAGGAGACCTGCAAATACAAATTCATCGGTTGTTAACTGAATCTGGAAAGCTGATACAACTTTGTACACACATCAGCAAATGCCTTTTGTGGAAAGGTTAAAAACATAAAAAAAATATCAAGGACAGAAAACACATCCAAAACTAGTAAGAGAAAAGGCTTTCAAATCAATGAAACTAAAATTATCACTTGTATCAAGATCTAAGTGAGATTTTGAACTTAAATCACCAATCCCACAAAAATCTCCTAGTATGGTTTTGGGTAGAGTGCTTGAACTTAAAACGCGTTAAATACAAGAGAAGCAGCATATTAATGCCTAACATGAAAAAAGTAATCTGCAGAAAGAAACTTGCTTGTAAGAAAAGTTTGTACCATTATATATTACAAAAAAGGAACAATTGGTACAAGTTTGCTACCATGGAAAAAGCCCAAGCTACATCAAAGATTGGAATGTTAGCATGAAACCATGTGAAAATGTTTTGATTCACACAAGGCCAATAGCAAAGCTTTCTCCTAAGTACCAAGCAAAATAAATCGATTAGAAGTATGAGATAAAGCTTTCTTCAGTCATGAACCTTCTCTGCTGCTTCTGAAAGTCTGAGTTGTGATCCTTGTGGAGTCTCCTCAGCGTCTTCAACATCTAGCTCAGAAAATGAAGTTAATTGTCCTTCATAGTATCTGCAGATGGTGGAACTATTTTTAAAATGCTTCGTCTTTCAAAGGTCCTTGATGATTTCATTGTCAGAAACCAAAAAAAAAAAAAGAAAAAAAGGAAGAATGCTCATCAAATATACAACAAAGCTTTCTCTAACATTGCATAATGCTTATCAAACTGGGAAGTAATTATTTGTCAGCATAAGAAACAAGATTTATATTGCAATCAACTAATCCTCCCACCAATTTACTTCTTTCTGTTCAGAGTAGGAAACTCTCCTAAGTTCAGATATCACACATGGAACCCAAATATACTAGGTCATGTATTAAAGCACCATAAAAAGCACTCTGATTATTAGCAATCCTAATAGACAATCTTAAAGGATGGAGAAGGGTGGGATGCATTGCGCTGCTGGAATAGAACAAAAATTGACCAGACCAGGGAATGAATACATCAAAGATGCATGTACCTTGTTAAGAGTTCCACAGCAGCAGAACCATATCCAAGCTGTAGTAAACCCAATAAAAAAGGTGTCAAAAATTTTAATGAGAATCGAGAAAACCAAACATAATAATACATACAGCAAACATAAAATTACCCTCATAGCGCTAGGATGGGTGGCAATGCGAACAATACGAGCACCTGAAAGTCTTGGGAATTCAGGATCTCGAAACTGCTCACAGAATTTCCATGGTATTTGATCTCCATGAGGCTGATAGCCATCACTTAAGCTTTTGATTGCAGATTTATGAGAAATTTGACCTTCAAGAGATACCTGTGATAAACTAATGTGAATATATAATGATGCAGATACATAGCTTTGCCATGAGAGTTCAAATTTTGTTGAAGGTTCAACTCATTAATAAGGTCATTAGATGCAACAGCTGATAACTGTTATGCTCATAGCACAATACATGTGGAGTCAACTTTTATGAAAAGACTTTCGCTTCCGATTCTCAAATAAAAAAACGTCAGCAACAGTGGCGGTTAAATTTAAACAACAGCCTTTGGTTGGAGAAACAAACAAACAAAAGAAAAGAAAGATAAACATACACATCAGACACAGGAAAGGACTATTACTGATTTCTTTAGTCCTATTCTATTTCTCTTCTATCCTACATCAACATCATCAGACCAATGGCAACTAAAAAGATTTAACAAAGTATCCAACAAAATTATGGGTAAAATATGGTTTTCAAATAATGCATAATGAATCAGTAACAGTAGCATGGAGGCCCAAAATGTCAAAACTCTAAACATCAAAACACTTGATAACAAAACAAGTAAGCAAAATGAAGAACTTGAATGGCACAAGTTTTCCTTGAATACTAAGACAAACATGACAAATGAAAGAAATTTGTTAAGAGTTTCATATAACAAAGATGCAAACCTGAATAACACACAAAATATCAGGAAGCTGGTTTTTTGACTCATCAACAGGGCCTGCAAAAAAATAAGTTAACAGAAGTCTATTACAAGCTTGAATAGAAAAGTAGAAAACACCACAAAGCCAAGCAGACATACCTAATAACACAAATAAATGGTGAGCTGGAGCATCAGCCATTAGTTGTAGATCATTCGGGGAATTTTTATAGTGAGAAGAAACATATAGGGCCATCATCCGCTGTAAGTATATGACATATTAGCATTTGTTTCACTTCATAATGACTTTAAGTACATATTAATTTTAAACTACATCTGATTACCTGCAAAAATAGTTCGCTATCTTTATGATAAGAAAAAAGTGTATCCCGATTAACGTAGTAGAGATCACATTCACTGGGTGGAGGCAACCTAATTACAAAATGATAAGCATAGAGGAAATCACTCCAGAAATCAATAAAATGGAGGCAGAATTAACTCCCAGATGCGCACAATATAATAACCCAAACCTGCTGATACTGGGTACAGAGTTTGTTACATCAAGGCAAAGCAGAGCATTCAGCCAGGATTCTATAGGATCAGCAGAAGAATATCTAATTGACTCACTAAGTTCTATCTTTTTAAAAACACGACCTGCATTAAAAGGCAATGGAGAAGTCAGCCCATTTTCAGAGAACACAAACTTGAACCAAATCATCATATATCACTAAATCTTGATAACAACTAGAAGTATCCACAATAATAATAATAATAATAATAATAAAAACTAGAATAAAAACTGCCAGGTCTACTTCACATAGCAATCACATGCATAATATTTGTTCATAGAACTAATAATGCCAACGAAGGTCAGAAATACCAGAGAGGGAGCCCTCAACACCCTTAGACAGCTGGCTTTGCTCTTCCAATTGCTGCAGAAGTTTTAGGGATAAAGACCGACCAGTACCTTCATAGCTTTAAATGGGATAAAAGAACTCAAATTCAGTCAAATTCATATCCTACTGAACCAAAGACCATGTTGAGCATGTTTACAAGGAAACTTTTCCAGGATGCAAATGACTACATTACAAACTTATCATACCCATTTACAGTGGATGAAAGGAAGACCAAGTAAGGACCAAGCAAGGACTTTACAACAGGCAATGGTATAGCTGCTGCTTCATCAACAACAAGAAGCTCGACTTGGGAGAGTTTTTCATGTTCATGTGGCTCTATATACTGCAAGGCCAGGGTAGAAAAAAAGGAAAATCAGATTTATTAGTGCTAACATGGAGGAACAAGTCCCACATTCAACAATAAAATCTTGCAGTATATACATAGGACAATATGATTAAATAAAAGTTGTTCATTCATATCTTTTAAACCTGAATTGTTTGTCTGTGCTGCTTGTAAATATTGATACGCACAGTTGCTTTCTTGAACTCAGGATTCACACTCTTGACAACATCATAATCAATGTGTTCCTGAAAACAAAGGAAACAGTAGTAAGTTAAAAAGGTATGAAAACAAGCAACAAAAATAGGAGTAACCATCCAAAAAAGACATGATGGATAAAACAGTGAGCGCCCAGCAGATTGGAAAAAGACATTCTTCACTATAAATGTTTTCATAAAAGCTAAAGCTTAATTATGATTTAATCAAGTAAGAGTTTATGAAAAACAACGTCAAAGCTTGAAAAGGAGATCCTTCTACTGAAATTCAGAGTTGTAGAGGAAAAGAAATTCACCGTCAGTTACTCTTCCTAATAACCGAGCTAAGATTCTATGAAAGTACTATGAAAAAACAAAAGCTAAAAGCATTTTCATTACAAATAATCATACAACTACAAGCATTAAAAAAAGTCAGAACATATGCATCCATACAAGCTTGTGAATATGTAGAGAAATGAGGGGAGAGAGACTGTACCTTATATTCAATAGCATCGAAACCCTTGCACACAAACTCAAACAAGGTCTTTAAGTTCTCAGGACTAGGTGCCGTTACATAGATATTTGAATACCTATTAGAATCAGTTCTCTCATTAGATAAACAAAGATCAAATGGAAAAGGAAATCATTAATGAAGGACAAAAGAATTTATAACATAATTCAAGCAATCTTACCCAGCAGCAATAGCACCTGCGATTGCTAATCCAAGTGCAGCTGATTTCCCACGGCCACGAGCAGCAAGCAAAGCAACTGTACTGTGCAGATTCTTGTCCAAAATTGCATCAAGAAAAGTAATAACAGCTTTTCCCTACTCAAACATGAAAATAAAATACACCCACCAAATAATCCAGAAAAGTTAGCCAAATTAGTTAGCCACAACCCAAAAATAATAAAGGAGGTACGTTTCCTACCTGATCCAGTGTACAACACTTCTTTATCAAAGGACCAACAGGAAAATCCTCATTTAGTTCTTCTTTTAAATTCTTCAGGTCTCGTTCAGATTCTGACAGCCCTTCAGAGTCCTTTTGCCAATCAAAAACAGAAGAAAGTTACAAGCATAAAAATGCCTTTGTATTCCCGAGTGACTTTGCTACCTTATGTTCAAACATGAAAATGTGGTTGTAAAGATAGGTTATATCAAAGATTTCTACTGCACTATAAAAAATGTTTGCACTTTCTAGAATGATGATGTACAGTAGAAAACACCTGAAAACATTTCCAGAAAATTTACCCCAAACTCACTCAATAGAGAAGTGAGATAATTACCTCATTAACTGGAACTGGGGTTATCGATTTTATATGAGATGAAATTGGTAAGATATTTAGCTCATCATCCATGACCACACATGCTTTGCATGATGCAAGAGATAATAAAAAACGTTCATTAAAGCGCCCAGCAGCTTCAGAGTGGGACTCTGTACGGTACCGCTCGTGAACATCCTGAACCAGCAAGATTTCTATAAGTTACCACTGTGATAGTTTGTGCACAAGCACAATTGAGTATAAAAACCAATAGTTTAGCAAGTATTAGCAATGCAGTTAAAAAATGGACAGCCTGGCCAATACAATTATCAAATAATGCTGCAGATATCAATATATTATCTAAAGGTAAGAGAATAACTCAAATGGGGCAAATAACTCAACTAGAACTTCTAAACAACATGAAATTAAAACAAGAAGGTAGTGTTGAATAAGCATTAATTTCAAAATAACAAGAACTTAGATATTGAAATCAGGGTCATAAACTAAAATACTGACAAATCAAACTCTGCACCAAATTAAGAATGAAAGCATGGTATCATAAGCCGTACATACGTTTTTCTTAATTCCTTTGGATGATTATAAAAATCAAAGCAGTCGGAGAAATAACTCATACCATAAACATAGTGTAAAGACCGGTCAGTGAAGAAAGAGAACGAAGAAGCAAGACAATTAATCCGCCACCCTGCACCGTCTCTATTGTTCTGGCTAGAAGATTTGGCGTCAGAGCCTCAAAATCCTAATATCAAAGCAAAAGTAAACAATTTTTAAAGAAATGTGGGAAAAAAAAAAGAAAAAGATGTATCCAAGTGAATCAGAACAAAATACAATAAAAAGGCTACCTGTAATATGCACATTCCAAAAGTATTTCCAAGAATCCTTTCTGAATCTTTGTACAAGCAATAGGTTAATCCTCCGGTTTCAACAAAAAGCGAAAAAGGATCAACCTTCTCAGGATCCAGCAGCCCTCTCTGCATTAACTTTTTGATCTGTTTGGCACGTTTTTTCTTGTGACTGCATTAATATAATCATCACTTTCAAGCTCTTATTATCAAGAAATCTCATTTAACAGAGAACAAGCATCAAATAAAGATTAGTTGCATTTACATTAAAAAAAAAAAAAACATTTTTGAATAGCCAAAAATATTGAAAATTCAATCTTTTTTATTGTTAATTTTGCTACTTGCTTTTCAATTTCCGGAAACAATAAGCCAAAGTGTCGAACTAAAACTAAGATACAAAACCTGCTGAGTTCAAGTTTGTCCCTGTAGCACCATAAAACAGTTGGCCTAGATTTGACCACTGCCTTACTCAGCATGTAATGAAGATTCACAATCTGCAAAAATTACATAAAACTTCGAAATTAGCAACGAAATCACACTCCGTTTGGCTCCTGAGAAACTTTATAAAGTTCTTGTTTTTCCTTTCCAGGAAATCAAATTAAACCAAAAAAAAACACGAGAGAGACAGAGAGAGAATGGAGGTGCCTGGTCACGTGACTTGTCGCCGATGATGACGAACATAGATCGGTGGCGAGTTTTGACACCATTCTCGATGAGAGTTCTGATGCGTTCGTCTACCTTCTTCCTCATTCTGCTTTTTCTTTTTTCTTTCTGAAAATTTAATTGTCTCAAAAAAAAATTTTAAAAACAAGGCTTGGTCTGATTTTTTTTTTTTTTTGGATCTTTTCTGTTTTCAGTTGGTTACTTGGTGCAACTGTGAAGCTCCTCTCCCGTTTCATGTTCTAGGGTTTATGTGGTTTTTGGGGCTAGGGCTTTGGAAGCTTACCGCATCATACGAAGTCGTTTTGTATAACTCCTTATCAAAACGTACAGCTAATTATTGATTAACTAAACATTTTAAACGTGTGTGCGCATTGAAAAATTATCTAATAAATAATTATCAACAAGTAATTAATTTAATTTATTAAGATTATTTTATTCAATAAAAAAATTTTGAATTCGAATCTTATTAATGATTATTTGTTGAAATCATATCAAATATGTGATTTGAAATTATCTGTTTTAAGTTATCAGTATGACATATCTTATTTTAACTTAAAAGACTTAATAATCTATTTACTTCAAAAAAAATTTTTAAAAAATAATTTTAATATTTTAAAATAAATCTTGATTCTACTATTATTATTAAATATTATCATTATTTTTTATAATATTATGCATAAAGATTGATAAGCAAAAGAAAATATTTTAAAAAATGAGAAAAGCAAAAATAAAATTGAATTTTTATTTATTTTTTTATTTTATTATTAAAAGAAAAGACTATAAAAAAATTAAAAATTAAAATATAAAAATAATAATAACTTAAATCGAATTGAATTTGAAATTTAAAATAATATATAAAATTATAAAATTATAAAATTTAATTTAAATTTGATTTAAATAATTATATAATTCAATTCAATGAAATTTTAATGATTTAATTTAATTCATTAAATTTTAAAATTTAATTTTTTATTTGTATATTATTTTAATATAATTAAATAAATTTAAATATAAAATAATTATTTTTATTTTATAAAAATTTAAAATATTTAAAAATTAATAAAAATATATAATTTAATTAATTTTTTAAAATTTTATTATTATCAAATTTAAATTTAATATATATATATATATATATATATATATCTAAACTTAATTTAAATCAAATCAAATATTATTATTTTGAATATTTATCAATTTTTTTCTCACCCTCTCCGGATAGAAAGTGTGGAATAAGTTGAGGTAGCCCTGCTGAAACTTGACTGAAGATAAAATGCCTTGTTTTCGGTGGACGATGGGCAATCTTGTATAGTTTTATAACTTACTGTATAAATCACTTGTCTTCTCTGTGTTCTGTCTCTCCAGAATGTGTTCAGTCAAAGCTTTCTCTTTTATCTCTCAAACAGAATTTCATACTCCCAAATTTCCCAACCATAAACCCTCCAAAACCCTCACCCCACTGTTCACCCATCCACACCCTTTGAACAAACCAAACTCCCTCCACTTCCAAACAACCAAACTTCACACATCCCAAGCCACTTCAATTCTCCCAACCAAAACCTCTTCTGTGTTTCCAAAGACACAATTTTTGAAATCTTTATCGGAAAAAATTGTTGTTTTCCTTGTTGGGTCTTTCATTTTTATGGGTGTTTCAATGCTAGACCATGTTTGGCAGTTTCTGCTCAAGCAACAACCAGCTCTGGAGTAAATTTAGAGGGAAAGAAGGAAACCCAGAAAGAGAAAAATGAGGAGGAGGAGAGGTATGAGAAGGTTTTGGAGAAAGAGCCTCGAAATATTGAGGCTTTGAAGGTGGTTTTGTATGGGAAGATGAGGAGAGGGAAGAATAAAGACGCTGTGGAATGTGTGGAGAAGTTGATTGACATTGAGCCAACTGAGGTTGAATGGAGGCTATTGCAGGCCATTTGTTATGAGATGATGGGGCAGCTTAGCAACGCTAAAAGACTGTACAAGGAAATATTGGAGGAGAGACCTCTTTTGATCAAAGCTTTGCATGTAAACTTCTCAACTTGGCTCTTTGATTTCAATTTAAGTCTTGATTTTTGTTATTACATGACTTCTATATTAATGTACAATATACAAACTGTATTCCATAGTTCCATTGGCATGTATTGTTTAGAAGTGACCTAAATATAATACATAGAGAGACATTTTACTTCAAACCATTGATCTTATGGATCGAGGCCTTATGAAGTTTGAGTTATGTGTCGAGGTCAATTACTTTGCGATGCTATGTGATTCTTTGAGAAAGATGATATGTATCTAAATCTATTACAATCAGTTAAATAAGTGCCAGTACTCTTAATAATATTCTTTTCCTAGTTTTGGCTTAATGAGGAGGAGCTTATTGGTTTTGAGAAAGAATTATTAAATTGAGGTATGTCATAAGCCACCCTGATGCTTTATGAAACTTGAGTTTCCTCAGGTTGAGCAGATATTTGATTTTTCTTGAATAATCCCTGTTCAATGCCTCTATTTTAACGTTCTGGCACATTTTAAGGATTACGATTACTCTTAGAATCTTGCCTACTTGATGTTTGAAGTTATATATTTTAACAGAATATCTTGATGGACAAGGTGTCAGGATTTGACATATGAGCAAATTCATTGGTTACATCAAAGAGAAGTTCTGAGTTTCTGTTGCATCCGTCACTAACTAGTAATATTCATTATAATGCTGGAAAATAGTAACTTTCCAAGTATTCTGAAATCTAGAAAAGTGTTTAGTTTCTGCTTATGCTCTGGCTACCTTTTCAATTAGTTTTGTGTATTCTCTACTCATACGTAGTTTAAACCATCATCTTTGTAAGTAAGATATGATCTGAGTATACTTCTTGTTTCTCCAAAGTGTCATTTCTTTATCTTTGAAGCATACGTCGTTGGACATTGAATCAAGGTCACTACTTTCTATGCAATACCACTTGCATTACTATTGCTTGTATTTGAATATTACCCTTATTTTATTTCTAGCTGCCAAGATGTAAGTTCTGCAACATCATGGTAGCATAATAATTTATTCATGGATTTGGATACTTCTTTTGCAGCTGTTGGGCTTCTGTTCAATTAGGAAAGACTTTTTGGCTATTTCTTTAGTTGAAATCTTGCGAAGAAAAGTCGGAAAGAAAAAGGAAAAAGAAAATATTATTCATATGATTTTTTTTTTTTTTTTTTGCAGGGTCTGGCTATGGTGATGCACAAAAACCATGATGGTCAAGCAGTCTTTGAGATGCTTAATGAAGCTCTAGAAGTTGCTCTTCGTGAAAAGAGAGTCACTGAGGAAAGAAACATAAGAATTTTAGTTGCTCAAATGCATGTTGTCAAGGTGACTTGTTAGTCAATCCTAGCTACTCAAATTGAGAGAATTCCCAGATTTTCAGTGTTTACGGTGGCTTCATTTTTTGTTTTCTTTTCCCCTTGGTGGGGGCAAGACAAGAACTATATTAATATTTGTTTTCATTTCTATGCAGGCAGGTAAAAAAGAAAAACTATTGGAAAGTGAAATTGAATTTGGCAAGAATTAGGAAAAAATTTTATCATTTTGATCAGACATATAAGAAGTTTAAGTAACCGGACATTGCTTTTCTTTATCAAATCTCTCATCATCATCCTTATCAACTTATGCATACTTGCTTGCAGGGGGAATTGGAGGAGGGGCTGAAGAAATTTCAAGATTTAGTAAATGATAATCCTCGAGATTTTCGGCCTTATCTTTGCCAGGTGAGGTTTCTAGGTGTATGATGTATTGCTAGCTGCTGCTAAGTAGTAGCAGGCTTAGGGCCTTGAAGACTCTCTTTTTGTATTCCTTTAGGAAAAAGTTTATGTAGCCATGACAGTTGATCTCCAATAAAAACACTCATAAACTGGATTTTTCAAAGGAAAAGTGGACCTTCAGCAGAGTCAGAGAATTGGAATAGATACAACATTCTAATAGAACCACCATTAATAAAATGGCTAATTGTGGGAATATGTGGCAGGGAATTATCTATAGTTTACTTGACAAGAAGGAGGAAGCAGCTGAACAGTTTGAGATATATCAGAGTCTTGTACCCGAAGAATTTCCACAAAGAGGCTTCCTTGATGATGTTGTATTGGCAGCAAAAACCAAATCTCGGAAATGGCTCCAGAAGGAGTTTGAAGCTGAATTCTCATACAAAAAGTAACGAACAGGCAATGTCTCACATGTTAGTCATGTAGGTGGTAGGTTTTTCTCCTTTTACTTGTGGTGGATAGTCCTGAAAAGCTCAAATGGAATTTGGATAGCGATGTACAGAGTGGTTTGCATTCTGGTGTCATCTGTATACGGATCCCAGGGTTATTAGATTATTAGAATTTGCAATGCATGCAGAACGAAAATAAACTTCTTCAGACCATATAGATGCATTAAATTGTTATCAGAGAAACATTATGTTACTCTCATTCATAGCAAATTTTAAGGTATCCCTGGAAAAATCACTAGCCTACCTGTATAGATCCAACTCATGCTGCAACTGCGAGTTTGCAAGCCATTAATCGGTCATTGCTTCTTCTTTTTTTCGAACGTTGCCTTTTGAATTAAGTTTGAATTTATATAAATTTACTACATCTATATTTTCTATAAGTCTGAACTTATATAAATTTAATACATCTTTATCCTTAAATGAAAGCAATATCTATTTGAATCAAAGAAACTAAAAAACTAGAGCATCTTCCATCCAAACTAAAACCAACAGAGTTGGAATACTTGATTCAATTTCTCATCTTCAAGCTAACAACCAAAAAGAGCTTGGCTATTGCCAATGGGTAGAGTAGTTTACAAGCATCACTTCCATGGTAATTTTATATGTTTCACTAGATTACGTGAAGGATAAAGATGACATAACTTCAAAAAAGATTAAAGTAAATTGTGGATATTCGTATTTAATTTGTGAGGTATTGTCCATTTTGATCACGATTTTGTTTCATAAAAAATTTCTCAAAGTTTGGATTTAGATATCTACATATATATTATTTTTTATTAACACATTATTTCAATAGAGAATTGAAGGCATTATAATCTCTTCATCTTTAACGCTTAATGTTTCTATCAAATCGAGTCCAATTACAAGATCAATATCACATCATACCACCGTATAGCACTTAGTGATTCTCACGGTCACTGACTGTTGATCACTCTCATATCTTTTGTAGAGACCTACACCCAACCTACGTGATATTATCTGCTTTAACCCGAAGATCTCATAATTTTATCTCACAAAAAATATTTTATAAATTTAAATTCAAATCTCTGCGTATATATCATTTTTTATTTACATATTTTTTTAATATGAAATTGTGAGCGATATACAAATTCTTAAATTTAAGTCGAATATGTTAAGTTGATTGAAAAAAAGGTTCAGACGGAGAACTTCTCTAACATTATTCTACGTATACCAAACTCTCTCGTGGAATGCTTTATAATCTGATTCTTAATCTTACAGTAGCCATGTGAACAAGCTCACTACTGAAAGAAAGGCAGCAATTGCTCCATAGGCAAAACTTAGCCTTCTCTCTCCAGCACTCACTATCTGAATTGGGAATTTGCAAGTGTTTGTTGATGGATCCTCCTTTACAACCTTGGCTAAACCCTCGAAATTACAGGCTTCAACATCTTGGTCATTGGTTTGGTAGTAAATGTTAAAAGCATAGGAGATCCTACGCTTATTTTCCAGAGTGAAACAAGATGAACCCTCCTGCAAGCATGTGCAATCCGAGTGGCTGCAAGCCCAACTCATCTGTCTAGCCAACGCTTCCAGGTCCGAGGCATCTTTGTTATAAACGCACCATTGCTTAGGCAAGTATTGTACCCCTTTCGCAGCCACTAATGCCTTGTCATTTCCCTTGCCAGAAAAGTCCATTGGAAATTTGGGCTTCCCATCAAACTCAAAAATTCCCCAATGCCTCTCGAAATTCCCTGGTTCAATACTCTTCTTGTCTTCATCAAACAAACCGAATATATAGACTTCCATTTTCCCAGGACGAAGTGGGGTTCCCTTATTACTAGCTAATTTTTTGAAGAGACCATCATAAAACTTCTTAGCATTATCCCTATTTGCATATTTGTTGCCATCTGTTGGCCATCCAACTTCCCCAACAATGATCTTCAAATCAGGGACCCCGGCCTTCTTCAATGCCCAAACAAGAGTGTCATAGTTTGCGTCAAAAACGTTGTTATACTGAACATTTTTGTCATCAATGGAGTGGCCTCCATCAAAGAATGCAAAATTTTGAGGGAAATCACTATTTAGGTGGAGACTAAGGAAAGGATATATGTTGACGACAAATGGGATTCCATTATCCTTGTAATAATGCACAATTTGGGTCATGAGATCCTTTATATCATCCCGAAAGACTCCACCGGATGGTTTGTTTGAACCCGATTGAAAAACATCAGCATTAAAAGGTATTGTTGCTTTGATTTTGTCTCCGACACCTGCATGGTTTAGGGCATTCTGAATGTTTTTCAATGCTGGGAACGTTTGGTTGGTAAATGACCCATCGTAGGTACGCAAGAATGGCTCATTCCCAACAGACACGTACCTGCAATATCACGCAATTGGATCGGTTTTTTTTGTTGTTGATTTGCTTTATGTTTTGGTCTTTTGAGACTATGCGGAGGCAAAAAAGTATAAATAGATCAACAAAATGAAAACAGGTTCCTTGGAACTATATAGGTGTACATTAACTTACTTGATGTTGACACCCCCATCATGAAGATGTCGGATGAGGTTTTCTTTGACCCAATCCTTTGCAGCACGGTGGTGAGCCAATGTTTCTAGCTGATCATTAGGAATCCCGACCATGACCTCAATGTCAGTGCCAGACAAGTAGCCTACCGTCCAAGAATCTGAATCGAAAAGCTTAACTTTTTTCATGCCATTATCTTTGAGCAGACGAACCACAATGCTAGGATGCAATGGGTGCGTCGACATCATACCCCAGTTGACACCAATATTGTTATCTGCAACAACACCAGCTGCTACCAGGATCAAGGTACAGGCCCATAGCAAGGCCATGGCTCGAGCCAATTCTTTAAGGTATAGAATGGAAAATGAAAATTTTAGGCTCTGGCACGAATCAAATTTACGCAGGAGAATTTCTTAACGGCTGATGTAGAAATAGAACTAACTACGGTAGTACGATAACTGAGAGATCAGTGGAGGCGTTTTCTGGTTGTGTTTTTTGTCACAGGAGAGAGCTCTTTTTCTTGTCCGATGACACTTCCAGACAGGACTTTCAAGGAGCTCGTTACTTTAGTAGCCCTACTAACTTTCTAATTTTAGCTTATCAAGTTCCTACAAAATTTACAACTAAGGGAATGTCTGAAACTGTCAGTTCGTTCTTCTCCATGCATGTGGCAATGATCATGAATGCACAACCTTCTATGACAATCTGTTAAAAGAAGTCCGAAACAAACTTTTACTATTTCCACAAAATACCATGCTAGCTCTTTGCCCTCATCATGCAATAGTGGAAAAAAAAAATAGAAATAAAGAATAGTTCTCAGATAATTAATCTCTTATTATATATTGCAAAAGTATGCGGTTTTCCCATATGAATTAACACTATGTATATAAGTATAAAACAACTTGTTTTATATGTAAAATGTCCCTAAACGAATTTATAATATATTTCTAAGAATCTTAGGGGTAGTGTTAGTTTAATTTTGGGATATGTGAAATCTTATTTCTTCTTTCAAACCTCTTTGATATTGGGCGTATGGTGTACTCTATGTCAATGCTATACAATTTTAAATAGTGTAAATATAATTAAAAACATAATTCATTATGTAATGTTGAGAATTGTAAATTTTTTATAATTGAGATTGTTAGGGATTAAATTGTTATTATTGAAGTTAAAAGTTTGACATTCTATCAATAAATCATATAAATAGTAGTTAGATTATATCATTTTAAATATTAATTCATGTTTTCAAGATATATTTCTTATTACTTATTAACAATAATGGTAATAAATTTACATTTTGAAAAAAGTATATGTTTTACAAAATAATGTAATAATACTCTAATTATAAGTTTATCGATAAATTTAAATTGTTAGATGGCTTTCAACATGAAAGAAATTCAAATAATTTCTTTAGTTTCTTTTTGGATACCAAAATAAAAGTACTAAGAGTTTTTGTAATTTTTTCTTTTACATAAAAAATTTTGAGCTATACAATAAAAGATATTCATCTTTAATCCAATAATAATAAGAAAAATAATAATCTTACACGTTTGGCACATCTCAAGATATGAATTCAAAACTTTTAAAATGAATGTTTAAATTTGAATCGAAATGTATCTTTTTCGAACATCTTTGCAATCACTTTATATATTACTCAGATAATTTTTTTTATTTTTTTCTTCAAATATAAAATTTCCCCCAGTGTTTTTTTTTTTTAAAATTATTATTATTATTATTTTGAGGAAGGGGATGTCCCTAATGTCACATTGAACTCACATTTTCCCACATTTAGAGAAAAAAAGTTACATTTCTCTATAGATTATGCAAACCAAAAAATGCAAATGCCTACGACAATTTGAAGAAGATGTTGGAGAGAAGGAGAGAGAGAGTGAGTGCTAGAGTCGGACCCTGGTGAATCTGATGAAGACCCCGATGGCTCAGGAGCAGACGATGTGGATTCGAACTGTTTAATCATAATTGGGAACTGACAAGTCTCATTGGATGGATCCTGCTTGACAAGCTTTGCTAAACCCTGGAAATCACATGCTGCTTCAGCTTGATTTTGCATTTGGTAGTACATGTTGAAAGCAACGGAGGCGTTCATGTCAAGACCCATATCGGAACATGAAGCCCCGGGTACTAAGGTTGTGCAGTCGGTATTATTGCAAGCCCATTCAATCTTTACAGCCAAATCTTCTTGGTTTGGAGCATCCTTGTTGTGCACGCACCATTGCTTTTCAAAGTATGGGACATCTTTTGCACCAACAAGCGACTTGTTCTGTCCTTCCCCTGAAAGATCCATTGGAAACTTGGGTTGTCCATCAAAGCTGAAAATACCCCAATGCCTCTCAAACAAACCTGGATCAATACTCTTTAAATCCTCATCCAACCAACAAAACATATACACGTCAGGGTTCTTCTTTGGTCGAAGTGGAGTTCCATCGTTGCTAGCCATTTTCTTTAACAGCCCATCGTAAAATCTCTTAGCATTTTGTTTTGTGGCGTAAATATTACCATCCGTCGGCCACCCAACTTCCCCAACAATGATTGGTAAATCCGGGGTTTTAGCCTTTTGCAATGCCGCAACAAGAGTGTCAATGTTGGCATCAAAGACATTGTGATATTTAACACCATCGTCATCAAAATCGGACGAGTTATTATCGAAGAACGCATATTCTTTGGGGAAGCCAGGATTCTGGTAGAGGTTAAAGAAAGGATAGATGTTGATGACAAAAGGGGCATCATTTTCCTGGAGAAATTCACATATTTGGCCCATGATATCTGCTATGTCGCCTCGAAATATACCATCCGATGGTTTGTATGTAGGCGTCATGTAAACATCACCATTAAGGGGTGTTGATACTTTGATATCTTTTCCAACACCGGCCTCGTTCAGTGCTTTGAGAATGTTTTTCATCGCTGGGAATGTAGAGTTGGTATATGTACCATTGTAACTTGCCAAGAATGGTTCATTTCCTACGGCCACGTACCTGTAAAATAGTGGAAAACATTCAACAACCCCATTAACAAGATATCCTTAATTTCAAATAAAAAATACTCTTAATTTCTTACTTGATATTGACACCCTCTTTACCAACATGCGCAGTGATGTTTTCCTTGACCCAAGCCTGGGCATAACTGTAATTCTCAGCCAAATTTTGCAAATGAAGATTGGGGATCCCTACCATGACCTCAATGTCTGTTCCAGCCAGGGCCTTTAGAGTGTTGGAAGCAGCATCGAAAAGCTTAACCTTTTTGATGCCATTGTCTTTGAACATATTAACAACAATTTTGGGGTCCAGAGGATGCGATGCTATCGTGCCCCAATTGACACCAATGTCCTGTGCTACAACAATGGCAGGAACCAATATCAATGCAGAGGCCCATAAGAGGGCCATGGCTCGAGCCATTATTGTAGCAAGTTTAGTCAGGACTCAGGACAAGGAAAATATGGTCACTCTTTTCCTTTCTTTGTTTTTCTTTTTTCTTTTCTTTTTATTTGTCTGTAACAAGGAAAGATAAAAATTCAGATTTATAAGGATTCTTAATTGCGGTTTGATGTAGATTTCATGGCTATGCGAGAAATAAGGAAAGTGACCAGCTTTCTTTGGTGATTTTATAAGAAGCTTTCACGAATACAAAAAACTTCGTACAGCTTGGCTGGTTTTCTAATATTAATTCGTGTGGAAATGCTATATCTGAACAATGTCAATTCCTTAACTTAGAATTGGTTATAAGGCAGCGGCAAGCTCTCATCTATGTGATCTTTGCCATTGCTGGTAGTATATATGGCACATAAATTGATGGATTTGCCCTCTCTTCTCTCAATGTTGCATGATATGTTATTCAAAAGCTACTTTATATGATATGTTTTAATGCATTAAAACTCCAAAGGCACATTGGGAGAGTAATATTGAACCTACAATTTTGTTGAAACCCTGAGGAATAAACTTTGAGTGTTAAGTGTATAGTTTTGTGTTTAAGTTTATTTGGCTCTATATATATAAATGCTGGCATATAGATTTACAAGTAATTAAGGTTCCATTTAGTTGAACGGTGAAATTAATTCTGAAAAATAAATAATAAAAGTTATTATAGTTGTAATTGAAAAAAAAAAATTTATTGTAACTGTAATTGAAAAAAAAATTCAATAAAAAATTTATATTAAATAAATCTCGTTGGAGTTTATATTTAGATTAGATTCAATTGATAGTATGATAAATTCAATTGCATACAAATTGAATTCAAACCTAACTTAAATCCTCAAACTACATCTGAGATTTTTTTATTTAAATTCTGTTATTTTTCTCTCTTTTTAACATTTTTTATGGTTCATTATCAATGCTAAGAGGGAAAAAAATTTAATGAAAAACAAATTTGGATATAACTTTTTTTTCCTATAATATGTTAAAAGGTATTCCAGTTTACTCTTATCTCATATCTCAAATCCTGATCAAATCTGGCTGCAACTGTTTTAACCTTTAAAAAATGTCATCATCATCGTCATCATCATAAGTGAAAAGAAAAGGAGAGGAAAGGGAAGGCAAATGAACTATCCATATATTTCAAAAAGAATGAACAAACTGTACATTTCTTACAAAAATGATAATGGACGCTTAAATATTCATCCAATGGCATCTACAACCTACCGCAATTTGCTAACTGAAACAGATATTTCCCAAAAAATGGAACAAATGGAACAAACCATCATACAACATTTTGATTGCAATGAAACCCTAATCTAAATCTAAATAAAAAAAAGAATACATTCTTTCGGTCACTTTTTTCCGCTCCTAGTTTGAGTGTGTCCAAACTTGTTTATACAACAATCAGAACATCTCAAGGTCCTCAGCTAATCCACAACTTCCATATCTTGCCAATATCACATGTTCTTTCAATGATGATCGCAAGTGGAAAAACTAGGAAACTATCATCAGATTAATGAGCATCACCATCCTATCAATCATCATCCCTCTTAACCATCAGAATAATCATAAGCCTCAGCCAAAATCATAATCTCACAATATCAACAATCCATTTTTTTTACATTAGTGGGAGGTAAGCCCCACCATGCCCTTTCCTCAAGACAAGAGGCGCTGCATTGTCAGGGACCCTATCCAAGGCTTTCATACAGGCATCCACCACATCAGTAAACCCAGTAGCTGATGTAGCCAGCTGCAACTGTAACCTCAGATCCCTAGTCCTCTTCAACAAGCATCTAAATGATCTCCCAAGGTATTTGGCCCAATCTGCTGGTAACCCTCCACCAGTGAGCCAAACTGAGAATTGGGACTGATCACCCCTGGCTGTTACCTCAGCCCTGTAGAATCTTGCCAGTTCAATAAGCATAGATGGCTGAAGAGGAAGCACAGCCACAAATTCAGCCACAAACTCTTCTGTCAGTTCTGGATTGAGCATCTGATTCCAAAGTACTAGGGCCCATTCTGTTGGTTGATTAAGACCATAGGCTTCAGCAACTATTAGAGCCTCTAGAAATCGCGATTGCTCAACTAGCGCTCGCCTAGCATTGGTTTCAGATAGGTTGAGCCACTTAGAATCTGGCATTCGTATTTGAAGGGAGACAAGGGAGGCCTGGGCACAAGCCCTGCGTGTTTTATTGCCAGCATCAATTGAAGAGTGAACTTCAGCAGCTTCAATGAAATAGCGCATTGATTCCAGGAGGTCTTCGTTCTGGTCTCTGTCATAGCGTTGAAACCACTGTCGGAAAGCTTGCTCTGCTCGTGACTCCAGCAGAGCAGCTGTTTCATGCTTCATGTCAAAGTGATTATAAACCTGCAAATAAGAAAAGCATGACAGAAAGGAAACAGATGAATCGTCCAAAATAGTTTTTAAGTATATGAACTTGGAAAAATGAGAAAAATTAAAGCCTAGATGAGGAATCTTTAACTAAGAACTGCATGGAATCGAATGACAACATATAAAATGACCATCAAACTAATTCTGAGCCAGTATAGTGGCCCATTTTAAATATATTAAATATGATGGCCTAAATGGACTTGTTCAAGCGCCAGGCAACCTGCTCAGACCAGTAAGCCTGGCCAGATTCAGGCTGGGCTTCATATAAGATTTTCCATAGACCTGGGATGAAGTTATTATCTTATTAAATGAATAATGTATTCTTATTTAAATTCAATTCTTAAATATATTTAAATATGTTAAAATATCAATATAAATGTTTTAGGGGCAGCAGCGGTGGCAGGTGCCCTCCATCCAAATGAAGCCTTAGTCTCGAACAAAAACCTTAACCAGCTAGCTATATGATGTACATTTATAAACTCAAAACAGTTTTTCCAAAAGATGATATTGACTGGCTAAACTAAAACAGATGGCATTGAAGCCAAACAAGCATACACTAACCATAGCAAATGCATCAAGGTCGTCAGGATTAAAATGCTTCAATGATGTCAGAACGGCCATTCGAAATCCTCTGACAGCCTCACCAGTGCCAGTATTTGTGTCTGCAGCAGTGGAATACTTCTGAAGAAGTAGATCCAATTGACCATTTTCTATGAGAATGCCAAGAATGAAAGTAAGGGCATGGAAATTCCCAACCCCAGTTATCAGGCGAGCCAAACATGCAAAATCACCCTCAGTAACATAAGCTTCAATCCTGGTCGCAGCAAGGGCTACAAGAACATCCACTCCATCAAGGCATGCTGATGATTTGTAGAAATGGTGTGAAAGAATAAGAAGCTCAACCTGAGAACAAAATTTTCCAGAGAATGAAATGCTCACAGCATCAAAAAGAACCCTCTAAAGCAAGAAAAAAATAAACAGAAAATTTTGACTTGACAATCTCATACTTTTATTGAAATAACAAGTTTAGAAAGCATAAAAATTGCATAAGCAATACAACTAAAGAAGATATAATAGAATGAGAGTTATTGATCATACTACAACGAAAACAACAAAGCCCTTTCTCACTGGACTCTCATGCCTAATCACAACTATAAGGATTGGCTTTAAAAAATGACTTCTCTAAAAAATGATGGTAATCAAAACATCAATACTATACTGGTTATAGTTTCACAAATTTCTTAAAAAAGTTTCTACATATGACACACACATTTTCATATTCTTAGCAAGCTTGATACTTTTATTCCCATAAAATGATCTTCAATTATTGTTATAACAAGAAAATACCTCACAGGCATGTGGTATTTCCTGTCCAGTAATCACTAAACGCATTAACGCATGGCCGATTTCTGGTTCAGAAGGACACAGTTCAGCCCACTTCAAGAAATCTGAAAATCTCCACAACAAAGGAGCTGGCCCTTCCTCTTTCTGAGAATCCATATATCCCCCACGATGAGCAGCCAATAAACCCTAATGCACATTGAAGATGTGAGGTCAAAGGTTATATAGAAATACAAACAAAAGTAGTCAGCAATGTCAGACAAATATACATTTCTCAGTGATTTTAGGTGCACCGCAAAGATATGGATTGAAACAGAAACACAGGCTTCTCATCACAGCTAAAATTCACATACCAAAAGCAATGAGCATTCATATAAGCATCAACACTCAAGTGAATATAAAGTGCATAAGGAAAATCACCTTTAGAAAGGATTCTGCAAGAATTTGAGCAATACTAGTAGATGGCATGACATGGGTTTGCACAAGGAGATTTGCTTCCTCAAAGGACTCCTGTGCTTTAAGAGAAAGTAGCTGTAGCAATTCAACAGGCTGTTTGCCAAATGCCTCTGAAAATGAAAGACCCAAGACATTTGCAGCTTTAACAACTGCTATAATTCTCTTACATAACCCACGTCCACTACCTTCAGTGAAAACAGTTGCTAAAGTCTCCAAGACCTTTGACATTCAAAATATAGGAGTCAGGTAGGAATATCAGAAGAACAACTAACCAGGAAGTTAAAGAAGAACCATGAGAAGCCAACCAACAAGGGAAACTCTGATTAAACTTTAACTGCTCAAAACCTACATTAACTGTTACAGATAAATGAAATTGGAGATATGAAAAACTACAGAGATAACAAGTACCTGCAGTGGGTAGATGAGATGCTGATCAGTCAGTATATATGACTGAATAACAGAAAGAAGTTCCTCATCAAGCATTGCTATTGTTATTTCACTGGTAGGAGTCGACATTGCAGCAAGTTTCAAAGCAGTATCCACGAGTATGAATTCAGAAGGCATCTGTCCTGGAGACAGCTTCTGTTGTAGTTGCTTGGCAGCTGTTATTTGTCCAAACTCCAGTAAGGATAGAACAGCCCTTTCAAGCTCTCCAGGTCCAACCCTATCTTCCCACTTAGAAAAAGAAATTTCAATTTTTAGGCGTTCATCTTGCAACTGGACATCATTTCTAAGGTTGGGAAAATTGGAACTATCTTCAGGCTCAGCTCCTTTATCTACCGTGTCCACCAATGGCCTTCTTGATGGCACATAGCCTTTGGCCCTCCGTTTTGTCTTTGAACTCCCAA